ACAAATTATCTACAGCATACCACCTGTAAACAGATAGCTAGACTAAGAGAATAAATGCTAAAGTAAAAAAATACCTAAGAAAGTATGTTTTTTATACTTAGCATAATTAGGCAGAATAGCTTTTAATAGCATAGCTAGCTATTAACATAGTAAAATTAGCTATAATAAAAGAAACACTATATAAAGCTAACTTTAGTTATAACTTATACTTTATGCTATAAAGAAATTAACTTATAAACTTTTAGAAATTAATAGACTAATTAATAAACTTATAAAGCATATATAAAAAATAGTAATTAAAGCTAAATCTAGCTAAAAAAATAATAAAAAAATATGCTAATAAATTATAATAATAAGAACTAAGGATCTACTTAAGAGATTATGTATACCTTAACACTAAGAACCTTAAGATACCTAGACCTTCTAGGAAATTAGTAAAAAAAAAAATAAAACTATATAAAGTTCTATAAACTTAATAAGATAATTATAAACTTAAGCTTTTTTTATATATAAAGATACACCTATAGTTTTATGTCTCTAGATTAGAGAAAGCACTTAAAAAGATCTCTTTATCTACATAAAAATAAGAAAATAAAGAAATTAAATATAAAGTTAAACATATTATTAGTAATTAAAAAAATAAAAAAGAATTTTTAGTAAAATAAAAAAAGTAGCTTACTAGTAAAAACACATAAAAACTAGCTAAGAACTTATAAAACATGTAGCTGTTAGTACAAAAGTACTTTTAAGCTTATCTAAAAGAAACTAGCTAAGTAATAAAGCACCTATATTAAAAGAAACAGCTATGTTATTACTAAATAGTAGCAGCTTTTAAAAACAAGTCTTAGCTAATAAAGGCTATAAAAGAAAGTAACTTTTTATTTTAGCTTTAAAGGCTTTTATCTTGTCTAAAAAAAAGTTTTTTTTAAATACTTTACATGTTAAGCTTCTAGCAGATCTAGTAATTTTTAGATATAATTCTACTTAGAACGCTCTCTAGCTGTTGCCTTTAAAGTCTTCTAGACCTAACATAACATCTTTTTACTAAGTTCCTACTTATAAATCCTTACAGTAGCTGCCTTTTAAAGAAGTGTTTTTTTTTCTTTTTTAGCTAATTTTATATAGTGTTAAAAATAAAAGTATTACACTTACTATACTTTTTTACACACTTAACACATTTATCTAAGAATAAAGTTAACATATAAAATAACTTTAAAAATTAGTAAGCACTATAAAGTCTTATTTTTATCTAATAAAAAGAATTAAAATAAAGAGTAATATAAAAATAATAAAATAAACAAGACTAATAAGCTATTTAGTTTAAAAAAAATAAATATTAAAAATGCCTTTTAGTAAAAAAGCGCTTACTTTATAAATAAACTTTTACTAACATAGTTGTGTAAGTAGAGCAGCAAGGACACTACTAGGGAGAAGGGGCAGCGTGTTACAGTCTACAGTTAGACTAGCGTAACTCTACTAGCAGTGCTCTATAATCTAGCTAGATTAGGGCAGGGCTTGCTTATAAACTAGTTAGAGGACGTAGAGGCAGCACAAAAGCCTGCAGTAATAGAGGAATGCGCTGTCTAATAAGGAGACAGGCTATAAATCTAGAGAGCTTAAGAAAGCTTAAGGAGCTCTTCTTAGCAAGCTCCTGCAAACTCCTTCTGCTCCTCTTAGCACTTCTAGCATATGTATATAGATCCTGCAGTAAATAACTTTTAAAAGGTGTATTTAATATTTAGTTTATTCTTTATATAGACTAAGTAGCATTTAGCTTTTTAATAAGCTATAATACTATTTATATATCTTACACTATATATACCTCTAACTTTGTCTAACAGGACTGTTTAACCTAGCCTTTTTACTGCTGTATAAAGGGTAAACTATAATCTAGTTACTCTACTCCCCTCTAATAGCCTATTAGCCTGTACGTAGAACTGTACACCCTACTAGTTGGCCCCTACCATTCGCCCTACTTCTCCCCTAGGAACATCATAAGACCTAAGTGCTTCTACGAAGCAAGGATTGTAACAGTATACCTCTTAGGTATATATTTATTTAATTAAATCTAAGTTAACTAACACTAATTAGTCTATTAATAAACTATTTACTGTGTGTGTAGCTATACAGAGGATATTATCTTTAATAAATAGATTTATAAAGATTAATAAAACTGCTACTATATAAAAAGCTTACTCCCACTGTGTGTGTAGCTACGCAGAGAGGGCGTAAATAAGCCTTATGCACGCCCCTAGATTAACTAATTACATAAAGATAAAATTAGTAACCTACTATATGTGTAGCTACATAAAAAAGGCTTACTACTAAGCCTTTATACGCTCTAAAGCCTCTTATTAATATAAGCTGTGCAACTACTTACCTACTGCGTGCGTAGCTACGCAGAGAAGATAATATAGGCTGCATAATTAAAAACCTACTGTGTGTGTAGCTACGCAGAGAAGGCTTCTTATTAGCAGCTTACCTTATTAACACCTCCCTTTTAATTAATTACCTGCATAAGAGGTAATAACTAACTAACACCTTCTACCTCCCTAGGAATTAATTACTTACACAGAAGGCAACTAACTAACACCTCTTTCCCCCCCTAAAGATTAATTGCTTACATAGAAGGCAACGAACTAACACCTCTATTTCTTTTTACCCCTCTAGGGATTAATTGCTCACATAGAAGGTAACTAACTAACACCTTCTTCCCCCCCTAGGGATTAATTACTTACATAAAAGACAATTAACCTACACTTTTTCTAAGCTATAGTGTCTTTGTACACTTTATATAAAAAGTTATTAGAGGTTATACATATGTCTAAAATAATTCTATATAGAAAGGTAGATTTAAATCTTCTGTATAATAGAATAGATATAGACTCTCCTCTACTAAAATAATAAGCTTTATTTATAGTGTACATCCTCTTTAACATGTATAAGCTACTAAAAAAAAGGTATATACTATAAAAGTAAAATATCTTTAATAGATAAATAATATATAATTTTAATAACTTTTTTTATATAGTTAAGTAAGAACTTTTTCTTACTCTAGCTAAGCATAGGCACTATTCTAAAAGCAGGTTAAATTATACATAAGCTAAAAAGCTAAGAGATATTATAAATAAAAAAAGCACTAAAAGTTAGCTCTAAAAAAAAAAAGTAAAAAAGTAATAAAAAAAAAAGTAAAATTAATATATAAATAAGTAAGTAACTTTATAAAAGTAAAAAGTTACTAGTGTTTGTACATAAGTATAGCTGCGTCTATACACATGTATAGCTAAATTAGGTTGCCTAAAACGTTAGCTATCTAGCCTATGCGTTAGAGGCTATGTGTACTTAAGAGCTCCCTTTCTTTGTATAAAAAGAGAGAGCAGTAGTTAATAACAAGAAGATCTTTGCCTGCTTACCTCTTAGTACGCCTCTTAGGCGTACGTTTGTTTAATTAAACCTAGGTTAACTAACAGTGTAAGTATTATAACTTAAACTAAATTAAACATGCTTTAGAGCTTAGATATAGTTAAATAAATAATTAGTATAATATTATAATAAAGCTGTTACTAGTAAAAGTAAGTTTTTTAATATAATGTAATAGCATAGGCAAGATAATAGGTCTAAATGCAGTAGGAATCTACTTAGAGGCATATAGAAGTGCGTGGGGACTTAGAACCTAGGAATTTCTATTAACACCTATAGGCCTTATATAAAGGATATTAGAAAACTACTAAGCTAGCTATAGAAGCAAGGGGTAACTAAATACATAAGAGAATAAGGGTAACAGCAGAGGGCTAGGCAGAGTTAGGGCTAGGTTAAGGTCGGGGTCGATACAAGGGCCTTCCAGAGGTTCCAGGCGACTTGAGATGGAACGATTCATGAGAATCGTTACAGTAGCTATAAAATAGTATATTTTTTACTAGATTCTAACTATTATTAGTAGAGAAAAATCTAAACGCGCGCAGAACTTTAACCTATCTATACCCTAATTTTAGATTAATAGTATCGCTCTTCTAACTAGAACTTAACAACTAGTAGACTAAATTCCCTAGAATTTTGCAGGATCCCTAACAGAGCTAGTCTGAGACAGCTCCTAGATCCTTAGAGTCCTTAGAGTCCTTAGAGTCCTCAGACAACAGCTAGTTAAGCTGCAGACATGAGAGCAATTGCAATGTCCCTAGCCTACTATCCAGCTTAACAACTAGCAGTCTAGATCTCCTAAAATTTTGCAGGCTCTCTAATAGAGGCTGTCTTAGATAGGTCTTAAATTCTAAAGATAATATATTGTGTAGCTAGGGAGTTACATTAAGGTGTAGTTGTAGGGTTATTAAAATGTCCTACGCAGGACTTAATAGCGCAATACTCTACTAAATCTTGTTAAAATTAAGTTACAAAAATGTTAGAATATAGCTAGAGACTGTCTCTATTACCTATTAAAATCTAACCTAGTTTAGACAAAAAGTAGTAGAGCTATAGTAATTCTTAGTTAAGCTAGTGCATAGTGGAGGAGGTTTAGAACTATAATATCACCTAAAAAATCACAAAAGTCCCTTAGACAGCTAGGGAGAGAAAGCCTTTCTTACACCCTTATTAGCTAGAGAGATGGGGCTTGCGCCACTAGCAGGGGCTTGCCCCTGTCGAGGCTCTCTCCCCATCCCGTCTGAGCTTGCTGAGATAAGTAGCGCACCGTCACGGCTGCTACACCTTACCTATATAGGTAGGTGCTATGATTAGCCGAAGTACATCCCATGGTCTGTTGACATCAAACGTCCCAGTTTGGTTCATCACCAATCCTCCAGGATCCACTCAATCTCTAGAATCATCTCTCATTTGCTGAATTCTAGGCAAAAACACAGAGTCCCACGAGCAGATTGTGGGGGAGCTTTCCACCTACCAGGAATCGACTAAATGCGCCGGTCTAGCAACCAAAGCTGTGTGGGGGCTGTCTGGTAGATAAAGAGACTGGATTAACCACGGGTTTTTGCATTGCAACTGAAGCACTCCAGGAGCGACGGCGAATATGAAGCTCACGATCTTGTCCCTCCTCACGTTGGCGACCAACGCCGTCGTTGGCCAAGAGGCTAAGCTCCCAAGCTCCGACCCACTCACGGTCCGAACCGCCACAGGCACCTTCACGGGGCTCATCGATCCCGAGTTTCCAAACACCCGCCAATTTCGCGCCATTCCGTTTGCGAAGCCACCCGTGCTGTCGCGCCGCTGGCTACCTCCGGAGAGGCTGCCGCCATCGAATGAGCATAGCAATACGACGCAGTTTCCGCCGTCGTGTCCACAGTTTGTATCAGCGGTACCCATGTTTTATAATTCGGACCTGACCAGGGGTAACACAATCTACAACCCTAACCCTAACGGCGACCAGAACGACACGTCAGGGCTGGTTGGGACGGCTACTTCTGAGGACTGTTTATACCTGGCGGTGTGGGCGCCGCAGGTAACGGCGCCGCGTCCTAATGCCGGGCTCCCTGTCCTCTTCTTCATGACTGGGGGCGGATTTATAATAGGTGGTATCGACATCCCGTGGCAGATGCCGACGTCATGGGTCGAGCGGTCGCAGTCGCACATTGTCGTCACTATCAACTATCGACTTAATATCTTCGGCTTCCCCTACGCGCGCGGGCTGGCGAACGGCCACCAGAACCTCGGCATCCTCGACCAGCGCGCTGCACTGGAATGGGTCCGCGATAACATTGCGGCCTTCGGCGGCAACCCGAGCCGTATCACACAGATGGGCCGGTCCGCTGGAGCCGTCAGCGCTGATGTCCATGCCTATGCTTTCCCCGAGGACCCAATCGCGCAAGCCTACTACATGCAATCGGGGACAATCATGGGTGCCAATATTCAGGCCAAGGATTCGACATATTCCAACTTCACGTTCGTAGCGCGTCACTTTGGGTGTGAGAACCCCGGTAGCGACGAGGACGGGGCAACGGAGCTTGATTGCATGCGTGGGGTATCGTTTAAGGATATAGTAAATTTCATCGGACAGTATGGCGATCGGGGCGAGACGCCCGCGCTAAGATTTAGCTTGGTTCCCGATGATCGCATCGTGTTTACCAACTATAAAGAGCGAGCAGAGGCAGGTAATATTGCACGCCTGCCGGTTATGATCTCGAATACCGCTAATGAGGCGTCGGCAACTTTCTGGCAACCAAACATAACCACTAGCCCAGACCAATCGATTATCACCGCCTTAGACATTGCGGTGATGGTATGTCCGACGTTCAACTCGACCGTGTACCGGAATCGGATGGGTGCGGACGTGCCCGTCTTCCGTTTCCAGCACGCTGGCACGTTTCCCAATCTAAACTATTACACGTGGCTCGGAGCATACCATGCCAGTGACATACCGATAACCTTCGGGACATATCAACTTCTAGACCATGTAGCAAACACTACCCAGTTCGAAATTGACGTCAGCTTGTCAATGCAGGACCATATTCTTGCCTTCGTTAAGGACCCGTATAATGGCCCACAGAGGACGATGGGATGGAAACCAATGATTGCCAGTGATCCGAACGGGGGAGATCTCATCCGCTTTGGCGCCCAAGGCATCGTATCGCAGCACATCGATGGTGTCGAGGTAGATGGAGTGTGTCTGGGATTACGAGAATACGACCCGTTCCCGTGAGGAGTATTAATCCGTAAGATCCATACCTCGATATTATCCCGAATGCCGGCCCGGGCCGCCGAGGGGATTTCACAACGTACGGGTCCTGGAGGCTAGTCCCTAAGTGGTTAGTGTTTTTTCACAACGTCAACAGTGGCAGTAGATATGTTATACTGTACAGTTGAATATGTACAAAAAAAAAACTAAACCTATTCCTAATCGCCTTCCCTCTCCACCCTCTGACGGATCTAAAAGTCGGCTACCTGACGGTAGGTCTCGACTAGTTTACTAGCCGAACAATCATCTACGGAGTTTGTAACGAGGTCGGCACGGTCAACCACGTGGCCTTCTCTCGCTCATAGAGGTTTAGGCTAGGCTAGAGACAACCGCTAGTGCTAGTGCTTACCCTAGCATTACCTATATATATATTATACTATGCGAGAATACTTAGCTTAAGTATTCTCGTGCGTACCTTTTGGTACAGTGGGGAAAGTCGTATAGTATCGACTTGGCAGACGGGGCGCCTACCTCATTACAAAAAGTAAGTAACTTAGGTGTGTAAGCAACTTGCCTATAGAGTACGTTAGCCAACTTATAAAGGCTAGATAATAAAAAAGCAGGTAATTATTAAGCATATACGTAAGTTAGATGTGTAAAGATTTCCTCTGTAGCTAGTAGCTATAGCTAATATAGCTTATTCTTTACACTCTAAGCATAATTTAGGCTATATTAGTATAAACTAGCTTAGTAAGTTTATTAAGTATTATTTAAAGCTTAATGTAAAGTTTAAGTTTAAGTGTAAGTATAACTATAAAAAAGCTTTTTATTAAAATTTTAAAGTAATTTAAAGCTAGCTTAGCTTTATAAAAAATATTAAAGCTAAGTATAGTATTAAAAATAACAACGTATATAACTTTAATAAAATAAGCCTTATAATAAGCTAAATATCTACTTAAGTAGATTATAGCTTTAGAAAAATAAAAATAGCTAAAGGTAGTTTAACTAGGTAACTAGAAGTAGATAATAACTATTTAAAGTATTAATGCTAAAAAGTAAGCTATTTTACTCTTAATTATTTTTTAGGCTAGTAATTACTTTTTAAACTAGTATAATAAAAATATATATACTTTAAAATTAAGTTATTACAGTCTCTAAATGTAGCTAGACTACTAATAAGCTTAGTTTAAACTAGTTAAAGCACTTTAATATACATATAAAAAAGTGTACTATTAGCAGCTACTATCTACTAGTTATTAATAGCTATAAGAGGTATAACTTACTTCTTTTAGTAATACTATAAAAATAATATTATTATTGCTATTTATATACTTTTTTATTTATTACACCTTTTATAGCTACTTAATGTAAGTTATTTTACCTTTTTTAAAAAAGCATATAAGTGTTAAGATAAAAACCTTATATATAACTAAATTACTTATATTATAAAAATAAAAGTTTTACTATGCTTTAAAGTAGCTTATGTAAGGACAGAGCTCTATACCACTACGCTAATACAACTAAAAAGGTGCGAATAATTAACTAACGTTAATTATTGCGTACAGAATAGTATATATACCTGTCGCACGTAAGCACTATCTCAGCCTTACACGTAAGCGCTATCCTAGCCTTACATTATCCCCCTTCTTAGCAGACGCATGTCCTAGGCGTCACATGACCTACCCGCAGCTTAGAGGCGCCTATGCGCATGTCTCGGTTACCGGCCAGAGGCTGACCACCTGCGGCCCAGAGGCGCAGGATAAACACAACGCAACGCTCAGTGGCCACGCCAGCTAAGCCATACACACTAGACCTCCTAGCAGCTACAACGTGGCGCTAGAAGAGGCCGCCTCACGTTTTAGTCTAAAAACTAGCTAAGCTGTCTAAGGTGTAAGTTAAAAGCGCAACTGTCCTTATTATTAGTTAATTATTATGTAAGAACAAAGCTCTATACTACTACGCTAATATAACTAAAAAGGTGCAAATAATTAACTAACGTTAATTATTGTGTACAGAATAGTATATATACCTGTCGCACGTAAGCACCATCTCAGCCTTACACGTAAGCGCCATCCCGGCCTTACAGCTTATAATACTATAATTACTTTTAGAAATATTTAAAGAAAGTTTTAAAGCGCTAAATTAGTTTTTTTTTAACTTATAAAAAGTTATAATAAGCCTTACTATAAAGTTATATACTTTATTACTACTACTCTTTATTATTAATAAGCTCTAGTAGTTGTAAAACTTAAGTTATAATTAATGCTTATAAAGATAAAAATTTAAAAGTATATAAATAGCTTACTAACTTTTATAGTTAAAGTGTTTAAAAAGGTTTTAAAAAAGCAGTAATAACTACACATAAGCTAGTATTAGTGTAATAAAAATTACTAAGCTGTTAGTAGCTAATAAGGCTACTACACAACATAAATTATATTAAAAAAAAGTTTACACTTAATAACTCTAAAGAAGTTAAAATCACGTAGTAATGTAACTGCACAGGTAAGACAATAGGTCTAAATGCGATGGGAATCTACTTAGAGGCATATAGGAGTGCGTGGGGACTTAGAACCTAGGAATTTCTATTAACATCTATAGACCTTGTATAAAGGATATTAGAAAACTACTAAGCTAGCTATAGAGACAAGATGCAACTAAATACATAAAAGAATAAAAGTAATAGTAGAGAGCTAGGCAGAGTTAGAGCTAGGTTAAAGTTAGAGCTAATACAAGGGCCTTCTAAAAGTTCTAGGTAACTTAAGATAAAATAATTTATAAAAATTATTACACTACTTCTTTTTTTATAAACTAATAGTCTTTATTAGTAGTAATTATAGTATAAAGTATTGCTATTATGTTTTCTGCCTTTTTAAACTAAAACTATTCTAATTTAGCTAGGTGTTCTTACTCTAAAATATTTCTTTACACTACTAGCAGTGTTCTCTAAACTAAACGCTATGCGTGCGCGCCTATTTTAATAGTAATCTATATAAATGTCTAACCTATTAATAATTAAAACTTACCTTTTATTCTTTACTATTTATGTAGTTATTAATTTTAGGTGTGCATTTAGTATAGTAGCATTTAAGTGTTATTAGAGGTGTCTTAAAAGTCTTTTACTATTAAAGTAGTAAAAGTAATTTAAGGCATTATTAAAAGTAATTTAGTAGTTAATTAAGGTTTATTAGAACATGTTACTATGCATTAACTTTAAATTAAGTAGAGTATAGCTTAGCTAGAGCGTGTTTAACTCTAGAGTTAAAAAGTAGTTAGTTAGACATTAGTAGTTACTTTTAATTCTAATAAGTTATTAGTAGTCTTTAAGTTTCTACTTTAGTGTATTTTTTATAACTTTTCTAAAAGTAATTTTAATTGTAAAGGATAAAAGTTCTAAACTTAAAAGCATTAGTTAATAAAAAGTCTTTAGTATTCTATTAATAAACTAAATAGTTTAATATAATAGTGTATAAGTATTATAACCTAAACTAAATTAGACACATTTTAAAGCTTAAACATAGTTAAATAAATAATTACTATAATATTATAATAAAGCTATTACTAGTAAAAGCAAGTTTTTTAATATAATGTAACAGCACAGGCAAGATAATAGGTCTAAATGCAGTAGAAATCCACTTAGAGGCATATAGAAGTGCGTGGGGACTTAGAACCTAGGAATTTCTATTAACACCTATAAGCCTTGTATAAAGGATATTAGAAAACTACTAAGCTAGCTACAGGGGCAAGGTGTGACTAAATACATAAGGGAATAGAGGTAGCAGCAGAGGGCTAGGCAGAGTTAGGGCCAGGTTGAGGTCGGGGCTAATACGAGGGCCTTCCGGAGGTTCTAGGCGACTTAAGATGGAACGATTCATGAGAATCGTTACAAGTAATAGAAAAAAGGCAAAGAAGTAAGTGTAAGCTAAAGTAAGTAAGCTATCTTAAAGACGCTATAAAAAGATGCAATTAGACTATGCATAACGTGTAAACATGTACGCAAGAAGTAGAAGTAGTCTTTAAATAATATTTTAGGTTATACTATACTATAAAATGCTAAAGCGGGTTGTTATAGGCTATAATAGAGTGCGTTGTAGTGTGGTCTTAGCAAAAGTAAGCGACTTGAGTGTGTGAGCGACTTGCCTGTGGGTACGTTAGAGTATAGACAGGTTAAAATTCTACACGCGTTTAGACCTTTCTCTACTAATTATAGTTAGAATTTAGGGAAAAAAATACTATTTTATAGCTACACCTTATCTTTATATTATATTAAATTTTAAGCCTATTTAGATATTTAGAAGTAAAGATATTAAAATTTTAACTCTATTATTATACTTTTAAATAAGCTAATTTATAAACAAAATTATAAAAGTGTAACAGTTATGTTACAGCTATCCAACCTCTGAGTACCCTGGGCTTGGCACTGTGTATATAGGCTCCTCGACCTCTGTAACTCTGCCTCCAACCCTAAGGTTTACTCTCTCTCTCTCTTGTAGCTCTGCTACACACCCCCTATCCTGTATTCCCTCTCTGTGCCTCGTGCTTCCTGCTCAATACCTCTCACAAAAAGTCTCTTAGACAGCTAATAAGAGGAATGCTAGCTACAGGGGTAAGAAACTGCTAGCTCCTAGGGTATACTCCGTTTAGAGTAGCACTATGCATGGTGGTTTGTGCGTCCTCTCGTCACCCCAGATAAGCTAGCCGAGATAAGAATGTGGTTCTTCACCTCTCACCCCTTTCCTGTTTAGGACTAGCACTCTTTTAGCTACTATATATTTACCTCTGAGATGTCTCAAGCTCCAGAGACCTTACATCTCACCTCAATATACCTAGGTCGTCTCTCATTACCTAATTGACTGCTCCATGCTCTCCACAATTCTTCAGCTCTAACCCTGCGATACTTACCTCTCAGGATTAGGTAGTTATTACGTAGTACACCCAGGTGTTAAACCCATTTTAAAGAGGCCCACTACGAGACTTGAAGGAAGGGGAGCTTTAGCCGGTTTGGTGTAATCCCTGAGATTATCCCAACTTTTGAAGCCATTCTATAGTTTTACGAGCGTCTCTCGGAGCAGCTCTCCTCCGTTGATATTAACGAGTCAGATGCCCTGGAGATTATCTGGTGATTAACGTTTGGACAGGGTGGGAGAAGCTGGAGAAGTACTACTGTAAGCTCGGCGATTCACCCACGTACTATGCGGCAACTATACTCCACCCATACTACAAACTCTACTACGATAACTTATGGAGATGGTAGCCAGGATGGCTGGAGAAAGCAGATGCTCGATTTTAGGACTTGTGGGCCGAATACAAAGGCAGCTAAGGCTGGCCATCTCCACCCCGAAAAATGGTCCGGATTAGTAAGTACGTCGGTCAAGCTCCCTTGGGAAATAGAGATGAACGGAGCGACGAGTTCATTCGCCGGAAGTATGAGGAGCTAAATCTGCCCTGGGACCATCCATTTTCAATTAATCCGATTTCCTGTTGGATTACCTACCGCTATAAATACCCAAAGCTCTCCCAGCCCGCCGTAGACGTCCTATCTATCCCAGGTCCAAGCTGTGAGCACGAGAGGCAGTTCTCCGAGGTTGGCTACCTTCTAAAGCTCTGGCGGTCTAAGCTACAAACATATTTTACCAACTATTAATTATTTAATCAAGTTAATTAAAATTCTAAGTGTAGCTTAACTTAATTACTAATTTAATAAAGCAATAATTAAATTAATTAAATTAAATATAAGTAATTAAACTAAGCAAAAGCTATTAAGCTTCTTGCTTGTTAACAAGTCTAGGCATTACAGAAAAGACCGACAGATGTGTTGCAATATCTGGGTTAGAGACCTGTATTACGCACGCTGGAAGGTGCCAAAGCAGATACGGCATCTTCCAGCCGTATATTCACAGGAATCTCTTATTGTAGCAGTCAGACGGGGAGAAGACGGAGCGGATTGGGTACGAAACCCAGACCGTGCCATCTTGGTTATGGATGGCATATAGTGGAGGCATTCAGTTCATGGACATTCCTTTTAGCGATGTGGATTGGAATGATGAGCTTCGATTAGCAAGGAGCGCAAGCATTTGTTCTTCAATACCTCCAAGGGGGAGGAAAGGCATGCGTTAGTTACCGACATAGGAGTTTTCCGTAACTGTAGACTGGGACAAAGTGATATAAGCTACGCCATCTTGGACTCAAGCGAAACAGAAAGAGGGCGGATTTTGTATGACATCAAGGAGAGCGAAGGTCTTAATGCTGAACGGCGTGCTGTTGTTGGGAGGAAGTCTGAACATGGGCCGAGGAATAAGACGTACTACATATTAATTGTCAGGCCAACCGGTGTGGATGGCGAGTATACGAGGGTTGGAGTTGGGTGGATTCAGAGTGGCTACTACGTGATTAAGAGAACTCGTCCATAATTCCCCCATTTGTTCTGCATGTATCGAGCAGATCGGCGGAATCATTTTCACGTGATCAGAACACTGACGTATGAATGTTCAAACTTGACGTAACTCGCAAACGCGCAAACACGCAGCGATGCAGCAGAATATTGAATTGGAGGCTGTGTCATGATTTAGATGGTTTGATTGGACCCACTTGCATCGTGCTTTCAGCTAGGTATTGCTTATATGCTTAGTCACGCGCCCTACCAGGCAACAATTGCTCAGGTGCACGGGAACCTGAAACAAGACAAATTTGGAATATCGAACAGTTTTTAACGACAAAAAGCATACTTGGTGGAGCGGTGTGAGACAGTGCCATTAAGAGCCGCTGGGTTCGTCATCACCTTCTGCTAAAGGTGGACTGACGTTCTCCGTCCTCTTCCACCGTCTCCAACATTGTTCACATACAATCTCATACTTAAACTTTTTATAATGCATATACATTGACACGGCTGCCATGTCTCATATGATTTCATTCGTTCTATCATGCCTGTTTACAAGGCGAGAGATGGGGTGGGTTCACCAGTTGGAGGAGATGGAATGGAGAAGCATAAAGTTCCTCGTGCGTTTTCACCTAGTCTCTCTTCACCGTCACTGCCCCCATTCACACACACCAATTTCATTTCTAACGATCATCGAAAAACGAAGACAAACATCATATCTTTCCCACAACACCAAGTTCCTTCTCCGGAAGAGATGAACCACCAGCGGAAGAAAACCCTGGAACGAAAGCTCCAATCAGCTAAACAAGCCGAGTCTCGTGATAGACGCAACACACCTTATCCAACATTCGAGTTCTCGAGGATGGGAACGCAAGTTGACGGTGTCTGGTACTGCTGCTGCAGACATGAAAATCAGCTCGTCCACTATCACGGCGATCATCCCTTCAAGTATTTAGATTGCGGCTCCTGTGGCCATAAACTGTGCTCCAAATGTTTCACATCCAACATCTTGGCACAGAGCGTCTTAACCCAATCCGACCCAGTTCCAGTACCTCCATTTTCACAAGAGGAGGTACCTTATGGTCAAATTTGTGGGGGTTGTGGCCTCACGCATAGAGCGAAACGCGTCAAGAACCATACCTTTGGACACCAATTAGCAGGAGTGAAGTTTGGAGACATTATTTGCCCGTGTGGCAGAATATCAAGTGAAGACTGGTTTCGGTTTGGTATTGGCCGGAACGACGATTATCGACACGATCCAAACAATTGCTACGTTCGATCTCTAGACAAGAGGATTCGAAGGACAGCGCAACAATTTCGAGCTCAAGTTTCCCACCATGAGACTGGCCCTCCAGACTACGAAACGCTCCCACCTCGTCCGATATGTCGCCGCCAAGCTCCAAAGGATGTCAGTGCGGAATCTCTGCCACCATACAGCAGCCAGGATCCCTTCCCACGACCCGAGATACGGAGGGTAGTCACTGCCCCTCCCATGGAGCAGTTCTCCTTGCAACGGCGAGGCGCGATCCGCTACAAGTCTGATACTTATCGTCGATAATAGGCTAGATGGGGGGAACAATACCACTCAGCATGATGCACCCGCCTTCGTTTATGTAATATGGCCCAAGCAAGGGGTTTTTGAGTGGATAAGGAATGGGTTGGTGTACTGATATAATTAATAATAATTGAATAAGCGTATGAACTCTGAAAACCCTTCCGCGATAGCTTACAGACCCAATGAAGTTAATGAAACCGTAAGCTTCTCTCCGCTATATTTTAGAGTTAGAGAAACTTGGGAGTGACCCTTGCTGTATTGCCCTGTCCAACTGGTAATGTAACTAGAAGTGAAGCCTTCCAGCTTCCTTTCAAGGTTGAAGCTTTTTTTACATGTAACCTCGCGGTTGTTGATGCGACACTCCTTTTATGGTGACGAAGAGGTCGTCCGTAAAAGAAGCCACCACGTCACTACAAAGAACATTGTGTAAAGTGGGTACTTCTACAATGTATGAAAGAAGTCCTGATCTTACTTATATAAGGGTCCAGAGACCTCACAACCTAGTCTCCTCTACCTTAGGCAACTACTTCACTAAGCTTAACTACTAGGTTCACGAAACGCAAAATTTTAAATGGCAAATCATTGCCCACCACCTTCTGGAATTTCTAACTGAGATCATTGATTATCTGCACGGGCCATCGGTGGAGCGCACATATCCCAGCGAAACCAGAGTTGATATGAGAGATCTCGCAAACACCCGACTAGTTTGCGAGGCTTTCAGAGACTACACGGAGCCTATATTCCGGGAACACTATTCAAACAATTCAATCCACAAATTAGAAGCTAATCCAGCATGCAATTCCTGCAGAAGTTTTCTGAAACTCCCTCTTTAGCTCATTCAGTGAAACTAGTGACCTTTATGTATGGTACCTTCTCGAAATTACCTAGGCCGTATTAATGAGAAAGAGCCGCAAGAGTACATGGAGCTTAGCGTTTATAAGGAACTGTAACAAATCTATGAGGACGAGGCCTCGTGGCTCTCCGACACCCGGCCAGGTAAGGATTCCGATCAAGGCTTCCAACGGGCCGTACTACGGTCCGTACAAAGTGAACCGTAACGGTCACGTGTTTAGTACAAACGTACTAAGTTCATAAGCCGCACTATACAGTTAATAATGCCCTAGGTACAGTACATAGTACAGATTATATTACCCTTTTAGAAAGTTTTTATAGTAATTCTAGAAAAGTAGAAGGACTTTAGTAAGTAGAAGGTCTGTAAAGAGAGCTTTTAAAGCTTTAATTAGCTAAAAGTTTTATAAAGGCACTTAAATTTTTTTTTAGAGGTTTAATTTATCTATCTGCAGTTTATTATCTTAAAAATGCCTATTATAGACTATTTTCTATTATAGAGTTATCTATTTATGTGTCTTACTGCTTTATAGGCTTTATCTAGTTAATTAGATCTCTTTATTATCTATTTTACATAGTCTTATAGGCTGTAGAAGTTAAAAGCCTTTTACACTATGTCTTCTACTTTATCCTATAATAGTATACTATTTGTAGCTAAAGATTAATTATAGTAGTTTCTAAAAAACTATAACTATAATACTAGTGTTAAGTTTATAATTAATTAAAATAATATATAGCTATTAAACTTAAAATAAGTGTTACCTTTAGCATAATTAAGTTACTAAGTAAAGAATAAAACTACTTTATAAAGTAATTATACACTATTAAAGGTGTAAGCTTATAGTGTAAATATAATACTTTTAAAAAAGTAAAGTAAAGTAATCTACTTTTTGTAACGGCGCAGGCAAGACAATGGGTCCGAATGCGGTGGGAATCCACTTAGAGGCATATGGGAGTGCGTGGGGACTCTAAACCTGGGAATGCCATTAACACCTATAGGCCTTATACAAAAGGATATTAGAAAACTACTAAGCTAGCTACAGGGCAAGGTGTGACTAAATATATAAGGGAATAAGAGTAACAGTAGGGGGCGGGGCAGAGTTAGGGCCAGGTTAAGTTAGGGTTGAGCCAGGGTCGGAGCTGATACAGGGACCCTTTAGATAGGTTCTAGGCGACCTGAGATAGAACAAGAATTGTTACACTACCCCCCCCCTCTGTAGACTAATAGTCCCTATTAGTAGTTATAGTTTAAAGTATTACTGTTATGTCCTCTACATCTTTAAACTAAAACTAGTCTGATTTAGCTAGGTGTTCTTGCTAAGTATTCCTTTGCACTGCTAGCAGTGTCCTCTAAACTAAACGCTACGCATATAGTTATTAATCTTAGTTGTGCGTTTAGGGTAGTGACATTTAGGCGTTGTTAGAGGTGCCTTAAAGGTCTTTTGCTATAGGGTAGCAGTAATAATTTAAGGCATTATTAGGGGTAATTTAGTAATTAATTAAGGTCTATTAGAACACGTTGCTATGCATTAACTCTAAATTAGGTAGGTTTAGCTTTAGGTCCTACAGAGGCGGGTTCAGCTGTTAACAGAGTGGTAGTTAGTAGTTAAGAGTTAGGCATTAGCAGTTGTCTCTAATCCTAATAGGTTATTAGTAGTCTCTAAGTTTCTACTTTAGCGTATTCTTTATAACTTTTCTAAAGGCAATTCTAATTATATAAGGATAAAAAGTTCTAAACCTAAAGGCTTTAGTTAACTAAAGGTTAATAAAATCTAGTTTATAAACTAAATAGTTTAATATAACAGTGTATAAGTATTATAACCTAAACTAAATTAGACACATCTTAGAGCTTAGATGTAGTTAAACAAATAATTAGTGTAATATTATATAAAGCTATTACTAGTAAAAGTAAGTTTTCTAATATAATGTAACAGCGCAGGCAAGATAATAGGTCTAAATGCAGTAAGAATCTACTTAGAGGCATATAAGAGTGCGTGGAGACTCTAAACCTAGAAATGCTATTAACACCTATAAGCCTTATATAAAAGAATATTAGAAAACTACTAAGCTAGCTACAGGGCAAGGTGCGACTAAATATATAAGGGAATAGAGGTAACAGCAGGGGGCAGGGCAGAGTTAGGGCTAGGTTGAGTCAGGGTCGAGCCAGGGTCGGAGCCGATACAGGGACCCTTCGGATGGGTTCCGGGCGACCCGAGATGGAACAAGAATCGTTACACTTTTAGCTTTACTATTAGTGTTATAAGCAGGGCTTTTAAAGTGCTGTAAAGGTAGTAGATAGCTATAACTATATTATTTAGCACTTACTAAAAAAGTATAAAGTTAACATTAATAAAAAGCTTTTACTTAATAGTGTATAACTACTGTAGCACTTATAAAAGGCAGCTAGATAAGCAGTAGGCTTGTTATAAGGGTTATCTTATACACTATAGTAAAAGAGTTCTCTACATAGTGCCCTAGTTAACTAAGTTATAGTGTAGAATTAGTTATTTAAAAAAGCTATTTTATTAAAAACTTATAGTCTTATTAGCTAAAATTACATAAATTTTTTTACTACTTTACTATATTCTACTACTACACTTTTTAAGAATATCTACGCTGCACTTATATAGTAAAAGAAAGAGATTTAAATAATACTAATTACTATACTATTAAAAATTATACTTAGCATAGATATATAGTGTTTTAAAAACTACTTTTCTTTTTTTATAGTAGTAGCTTACTTTATTAGTATACATGTATAGGCTACTATTATAAAAACTTTATAACTAATAATAGCTAAATGCTTTACACACTTAGTAAAACTTTTTAATTAGCTTTAAAAACTTATACAGTAACTATACTAGTAGTGTGTAAGCCTTTAAGATAGCTGCTATTATTAATAAGTATAATATTATATTAAAATTTAGCTGCTTTATTAAAGATAATATGTTAAATAATAATAATAAGCTTATTTAAAGCCTTAATAAAAAGCTTAACTTACTATATAAGCTTAATAAACAGCACTAAATCTACTATGCTACTTATATAATCTAGGTAGTTATTAAAGCTATTATATATAGTAAAAGTGTTATAAAATTTAAGCAAAAGCTTACTAAAGCTACTTTATATAATTAATTTAAGCTATATAAAAAGCATAGAGTTATTAGATAACTTTATAACTTTATAAATAGCATACTAGCATTATATAAGTGTATAAAGCTTTTTAAGACTTTTTAAATTAATATTATAAAAAAGAACTTAATTTAGTAGTTTAGCACACTTACTTTAGTGTGTAATAGTAGAGTACACTAGCACTTAGTTTACTTTATACTATTACACTGTTATAAGCTTAAAAAGGTTATTAGTTACTTTTAATAGTAATAAAAAAGCTTTTTTAATGCTAATAAAAAGACTTAATAAGCTAGCTTTAATACCTTAGTAGATTTTATTACTAAAAATAATTAAAATAAAATTAAGCGCTTTAAAAACTTTTATTGCGTTTACTAAAAGGTTAACCTTCTAGCTAGCACAGCAGAAGGATATATATAGACAGATAGCTGTACGCGACACACCCCCTAGCTTAAACTATAGAACAAGAGAGGTAAAACATAGTAAAATAACCTTAACACACTCTTCCTAGCCTAAGTAATAGAACTTAGAGACAGATTTAGTAAAGTAGCCTCTGTAATAGACGCACTACCTAAATGCTTTTTGCTAAGCGTAGGAATTAAACACACAGTGCTTAGGGATAATGCAATCCTACTAGTAGAGTAGGGAGAGCAGAGATGCAAAAATAATTTTTGTGTGCTAACTATCTACACTACGCTGTAAACTAGGCTTATAACTGTTGCGTTTGCTAAAAGGTTAACCTTCTAGCTAGCACAGTAGAAGGATATATATAGACAGATAGCTGTACGCAACAACTTTTTAGAAAAGTTCTTTTAAATAATAAAAAGACTTTAAGGCTAAGGCTTATTTAGCTTACTATAAAAAACTATAATAAAGCTTTAGTGCCTCTAAATTTACTTTAATTAAATAAAAGTAATTACTACTAATAAGCTATGTAACTTATACTTTAGAAATACTATTAAGTTTAGCTATTAAAAGCTTACTACTTACTAAAATAAACTAATTTTTAATTTACTAGTCTTATACTATATAGTTACTACTATTTTTAACTTTTAATTATGCTTACTTTAGTTTTAAAATTACTAGCAGCATTATAAAAGCTAAGTAGATAAAGTAACTAGGTTAATAAAAATAATCTTTAACTAGTATTTAAATGCTAAAGATAAGCATAAAGTTAAAAATAAGCTATTATCTTTTAGGCATTATAAGCTGCTAAGTAGTAACTATTATAATAATAATTATAAAGCTTACCTTTTTATTAACCTTTTTCTTATAATAAATTAGCGCTTATATAAGTATAAAAAAGTATTAAATAAGCTATAGCTTTACTATAACTTTATAAAAGCTAATTACTATAAAGATTACTCTTTATTATGTAAAGAACTTTTATAATAGTAGCTTACTAAAGGTAAAACAGCTTATTTTATTCTTTTTAAAATTACTCTTAATTTTCTTACTATTCTAGCTACTAGTTATAAGTGTAAGAGGTGTTTTAGCGCAGCTAGTTATATAGTAACTAATAATTAAAGCTTACTAAAAAGTGTAATAATTAAGGCTATTTAACTTTAAAAGAACTAGCTATAGTATAAGGTAGTAAGCAGTAAGCTTTTAGACCTCTCTGTGTAACGGCGCAGGCAAGACAATGGGTCCGAATGCGGTGGGAATCCACTCAGAGGCATATAGGAGTGCGTGGGGACTCTGAACCTAGGAATGCCATTAACACCTATAGGCCTTGTATAAAAGGATATTAGAAAACTACTAAGCTAGCTACAGGGCAAGGTGTGACTAAATACATAAGAGAATAGGGGTAACAGCAGGGGGCAGGGCAGAGTTAGGGCTAGGTTGAGTCAGGGTCGAGCCAGGGTCGGAGCTGATACGGGGACCCTTCAGGTGGGTTCTGGGCGACCTGAGATGGAACAAGAATTGTTACACTACCCCCCCCTCTGTAGACTAATAGTCCCTATTAGTAGTCACAGTTTAAAGTATTGCTGTTATGTCCTCTGCATCCTTAAACTAAAACTAGTCTAATTTAGCTAGGTGTCCTTACTCTAAATTATTCCTTTGCACTGCTAGCAGTGTCCTCTAAACTAAACGCTATGTGTGCGCGCCTGCTCTAATAGTAATCTGTACTAATGTCTAGCTAATTATTCCTTGCTATCTATACAGTTATTAATTTTAGGCGTGCGTTTAGTAAGGTAGCATTAGGTATTGTTAGAGGTGCCTTAAAAGTCTCTTGCTATAGAGTAGCAGTAATAATTTAAGGCATTATTAGGGGTAATTTAGTAATTAATTAAGGTCTATTAGAACATGTTGCTATGCATTAACTCTAAATTAGGTGGGGTATAGCTTAGCTAGAGCGTATTTAACTCTAGGGTCAGAGGGTAGTTAGTAGTTAGGCATTAGCAGTTATCTCTAATCCTAATAAGTTATTAGTAGTCTCTAAGTTTCTACTTTAGCGCATTCTTTATAACTTTTTTAAAAGCAATTTTAATTATATAAAGATAGAAAGTTTTAAACCTAAAGGCTTTAGTTAACTAAAGGTTAATAAGATCTAGTTTATAAACTAAATAGTTTAATATAATAGTGTGTAAGTATTATAACCTAAACTAAATTAGACACATTTTAGAGCTTAGACATAGTTAAATAAATAATTAGTGTAATATTATAATAAGGCTGTTACTAGTAAAAGCAAGTTTTCTAATATAATGTAACAGCGCAGGCAAGACAATAGGTCTAAATGCAGTAGGAATCTACTTAGAGGCATATAGAAGTGCGTGGGGACTCTAAACCTAGAAATGCTATTAACACTTATAGACCTTATATAAAAGGATATTAGAAAACTACTAAGCTAGCTATAGGGCAAGGTGCGACTAAATACATAAGGGAATAGAGGTAACAGCAGGGGGCAGGGCAGAGTTAGGGACAGGTCAAGTCAGGGTTGAGCCAGGGTCGGAGCCGATACGGGGACCCTTCGGGTGGGTTCCGGGCGACCCGAGATGGAACGAGAATCGTTACACTCTGCTCTTATTACTAAAAAGAATTAGTTATTTTATAGTTAATTAAACCTTAATCTTGTGTCTTTAAAAACCTATAATCTTAGCTGTTTTAACTAGAGTATAGTGTACTTTAATTAAATTATACTACTTGTACAGATTACGTGAGCTGTAACAGTTACAATACGTACACCTACCTCTCCTCCTCCCTGTCGTACGAACGTACCCAAAATCTCACCTGCACAGGCCTCAAAATCGCCCAATTGTACAGTACTACGCCTCGTTGGAAGCCCTGATTCCGATATAGTAATTGTTCCCTGTTAATTCTAACTGGCAGACGAGAGCCGATCGTCCTTCCAACGAACCTCGGAACCCAACCCCCAGCTTCATATCCGCGGCTCTTCTTTCGTCCACACCCCTTGCAATAAAAGATTTGTCAGAAAGATAAGATTCTGCATTTAAGGTTTATGATTGCAGTCTAACCTTGATAGCTACTAAATCAGTGACAAAGTGATTCCCTCCTTCTCTAACTTCCCTTGAGGCACTTGAACGTAGAAGGTGAAGGGGAAAGTGACTGCGGGGCCAAATTCGAATCAATTGGTCCTGGCCAATCTCCACTCTACACAATTGACGCTTGGACGCATTGATCTAGTTATTATAATCGATAGACCCACATTTTCTCTATTGACCCTATTATTTTAGCACTGACGAGGGTTACAGCTAGTACCACGAGTTTCGGTCTAAGTCTAGAAACCATCAAAGCTTTATCAATTCTGATTTAGGGGGATCTTTAAGAGTTTACAATGAATATCGACACTAACTTTTATTCTGGAATCTTTAGGCAACTGTGAAAACAGGTACAAGACTTATTGTAAGGAAGGGTAGTATTGTTCAAAATTGCCTGAGATCATAACACCTAGCCTGAGCACTGCTCAAGTAAATGCAAGAAAACGCGCTCGATTATTTACCTTTTCACCAGTGGGTAGAAAGTAGCTTGGCGTGGAAATGAAGAGAAATTTGTACCAATCTCGGGATTTTGTACTACTCTGTCTTCTTCAGGTACTAACACTTTACCTTCTAGGAGCACTAACTGCCTCTAAGCACAGAAAGTAAAACAATTAGTAATGGCTGCCACCACTCAAATTCCACCATCACGCCCACAAGATCACTGATTGCGCCCTTCCTCCTGACTACCGTTCAATGGACTCCTGGCTGTGATATCCCGGCTTCTACTTCTCAATTGTAAGATAGATGCCCTATAAATGCTAAGCATTCCCTCATGCAATGATTTTATAGAAAGCAGAGTCGTATATATTTGTAGAAATCTATAGAACATCGAAAACCTATAGAGAATCGAGCTTCTCTCTGCTCGAATGTATGACTAGACGAACTTATCAATAGCTCTTGCTACCCTGCCTTGTGTAGCCTATGGGATACCTCGTCGCCATAGCTTCCAGCCCCTTGAAATACTATCTACCATTCCATAAGAAGCAAGTACAAGCTACGCTTATTCTCAAAATGATTCAGAACTATGTACACCATATTCTATCGAATATTAAACCGCGGCCACTCCTTTCCTGTGTGGCATCCACAAGGACACTTACCATTCTTGAACTCGATCTTTGAGATCTGTCTCTCCTCTTACCTATTCTCGCCAAAATACTCGTATTTGGTTTCCCCGGTCAAGCCGCAGCGGCTGCACATGCTGAAGTATGGCATGTGGTATTTGCGTTTGGATTGGAATCGGGGAACGCTGGTACCATGTTCAGTGCCGGACGGGAAATGGCGGAGGACGAGGAAAGTATTGCGGTCGGCGCTGAACACCTGAGAACAATGGGAGCGGATGAGCAAGTTGAGGTGGTAAGCACCCGGTTGGTGGCCTATGTCAGACTTGTGGTCACAACTGTTGAACATATGCCGTTGACCTTGTATGCTTTCTCGGGGTCGAAGATAAGGGGTAAAGGGAGTGTCATGACTTGGTTCGAGAGAAGCCAAGTTCAATGTAGAGTGTTCGGAGAATAGTTGAGATCATTGATGATGGTACAGTGAATGGCAGTGTATCGTGTGGTGATAATATTGGTGAGTTTACATCGTGATTAATGCATTTATTAGTAGATAATCTTAACTGGTCGACTCAAGGACTCCGCGGATTCTGAAAGAGCTGGAATATCCTCCCACTAGCACCAAGAAAGACTCTAGGGACATGATATGGTGTTGAAAAGCAGCGAACGAGGATGTAGAACATGATACAGTAGTTCAAGACAGAAATTTGCATCTTGTTAAAGCCCCACCTAATTATAGCAAGGGTTTTAACAGGTAGACTCTGTTCTAGCCATGTCCCGCATCATGTGACAACATGCTGTGCATGCAGTCTCTTTGTTTCCGGCCCCTGGACGGCCCTCGACACGCTTGATAAGACAAAAACCATGTCTGAAATCCCACGACTCTTGGAGCTGTCTAGTTTCTCATTATAATTCACCAAAATTCGAGCTCTGGCAGCGACCATTTCTGCTATATTGTATAGCAACGAACTCGGCCCAGAATAGTGTAGTCTCAATCTACCATAAAAACTTCAATATGTGACTACATAACGCCAGATTATAGGGATAATGATAGCCGTTCGAAAAAAAAATGATGTTCTGGAAGTTCTTTCCAGTCAGCATCGTTCTTCATTACGCTCGAAAACTTACAGCTCAAAAAGCACGAAATCATCAATTGCGTAATTTAGACTACCCCTATGGCAGCAACCACTTTGCCAAAACACATGTTTGACTAAGGCCCGTTGGCGTCAGATTCCACCTTCCCCGCAGTTAAGAGCAGAACCTGTGAAGAATCGACGCTTGCATCCGCAAATTGGAATGTAAGACCACAAGTAGGCTATAAAGTGCGATACAAGAAGCTCGCCGACTCCTCCGTGGGCTGGCTTCAGGGATTACCGATAGCGCGCCGGAAGCACCTTACCGACAGACGACTGAGCGGTCTTGCGCACAGCAAGCTGGACGAAGTGATCGTCAACGAAAACATCGAACTTCTGCCCACGAGGCGAAACCCGACGAAGGACCCTTGCGAAAGTGCAATTGTAAATGGATATGCACAGGTAACGAATGTTAATGTCTTCTCCAGGACACAAGGTTGAACGCTCACGCTCAGAACGAAAATGAGCGCGTGCGTGAACGCACTGACACCGCCTCCAAAAGGTATTTTGGAACATCTGAAAGAAATAATGTATCGCGTATCAGCCCAGGAAAAGATATGCTTAATTGAAGGCTGGAGTAGGACGATAACAAATATAAAGCTCGAAAGGTGCGGAGGAATAGAAGTAACGGCTGATACCATTCTAAGGGAGTATAATAGCCAGAGCTTGTAGAAGAACAGGAATAGGCTTCTCATCCGCCGGGATAACTAAAAGCCGTGGTAAGAGCAAAGAGAAAAATGGTGAGCAGCATGACTGCAGCATTCAAAAATGAACAGATATGAAGTTTAGTAAATCACTTTAGTACAATTCGTGACAAACTTATTGACGTCATCAAAGGCCTTCCCTAGCCTTAAAGCCAACCAGAAATATCTTTAGTGATATAGATGGATGAGACAACGGCTCGGTTTGATGGCATTAGTGTGTTGAGTGGAGGATTGAAAAGTTATGGACCTAGTGAATGTTGAGCTTCGAAGACTAGCTAGCCAGATCCGGTCTGGCTTGGTCTGGCCAATCATCCCATGAATGTCAATACAAGATAAATATCTCGTTGGGACGGGTATTAGAGTGAAGAAAAGGTATACCAAAGATAATGTACGAGGGGAAAGAGAAGAGTAGCTTCGGAAGTACTAAGTAAAAAAAGACTGTCGTAGTTAGACTCGTTCAGTAGAATTGACATACGTTTGTGGGGCTTCATCTTTAAAGGGTAGCTTTTTCCTAGCGCAGTCAGTGCATCTTCTAATACTTCCGTGTATCTTCGGCCGCACCACGCTACCCGATGAGGCTCTTCGGTTGGAAAACCGAACCACACAGTGCGCCCACGCACGAGAGAGGCAAACGAGCAGACGCTTGCATACGATATATAATACTTTCCACTTTTGATTATCAGGAAAGCTCTTCAGCCCCACTCTTCCATCTCTTCCACCTCCCTTCATCAGACGCCTCACAAGGCAGATTCTCATCTGACATCCATCTGACCGGACATCTGAATACTGGATTACCACGCGTAACACAACATGCGCGATATTCCCTGATGACGCCTTGGCCCGTGTGTTCTTGTTCGTGCTTCGTGAATGAGAGTCATACGACATGGACGGACGTTGGACGCCAAGGGCTTCTGCGTCGACAGACTTTCGGCAAATACATACGGCGTATTCCGTCTTAGTATCTACTTCCTCTACTCGCGGAGCTTAGTACGAGAAGGATATGACCTGGGAAATCTGTCGCTCGAATCAGTTAGAGGATCAAGGAAATGGATGCAAATTTCTGTCCTATCCAAGGAGTTTAGACATTGCTACGTTCTAGTGCCAGAGAAGAACCTTTTCCAGAGAATCCCAGCCTAGCTGCCAATGTCGACTTTCAGAAACACAATTTCCGAAATGGATGGCCCAAAATAGGCTCGGCCCACAGTTCACCCAAATTCCCAGCGTCAATGCCAGGTAAGCGGTCGACACCGGTGACGCCAGCCAACCATCTCATCCCTGTTCTCCGCTATACCTAAGCTAGGAACGTCATCTTACTTTCGAGAGACGGAGATTTACAGGCCCGATAACCACACGCCGTCTCACTGGACATTCACTGCTTTATGTAAACCTTATCTCGATTTCTGGAAGGCTGCCTGTTCAGGCGATTCTCGATGTGCTGGAGCGTGCAGCCATTGGAAGAAGGTGGAGTACTTTCGGCGGCGGGGCTTACCGCTCTGAGGATGCACACACGACCACAAGAGAGCTTGGTGTAACCTTTCCCAGGGTAGTTCCAGGCCTGAAGGACGGAGCCCGTATCACCAGATTTTCATGGTGCTGAGCGAAAAGTGGTTAACGTAACTGGGTATGAAGATCCAGGGCTTATCTCCCACCAAGCTATAACCAAGAAAACCCAGGGTTTACTTCTTATCTTGAGATGCGGATTTGACCTCTGAGCGAACCTGATGGCCGACAAGGACGGATCTGTATAGATGCCGGCTTGGGATCCTGGATGCTTAGAGCGGAGGCTGGCCCCGTTCGTGGGGAAGCATGCAGGCAGGCAAGCATTGCTTTGGTTACACGCATGGCATGGCAGGGTAAGCTTGGTTGCTAGAGTCCTGCCGTGCAGGGTCAACGTACAAAAGCTGGTGGGTTGCTACCAAGCTTAGCTTTCTCGAGCAAAGTCCCCAAGCTCTTGGGAAGACTGTCCCTTGAAAGTGCTCTCTGTACTTTCGTACGCTTTTTATTCCGCCTGGTCTTTACCAAACCTCTAATCTTCCCTTTCCTCACCATGGCCGAGAAAAAAGTCGAAATAGGCCTTGACGGAGAGAAGGTACGGCAATATGGAGAAAACCGCAATTCGGCATCGCGAAGGAGGAGTTCAGTTGTGAACCCAGAGGTCCTTGCCGGGGAGCTCTTCGATGAGCGTTATGAGCGAACTCAGCGGGGATTGAAGTCGAGGTAAGCCACCAGCCATATCTCCAAGAATTTGCGTTTCACCCAAACTACTGCCACACCCGAGCGAACGGAAATCATGGGAGTTAAGCTAATACGCAAAATACCACAGGCACGCACAGATGATCGCCCTCGGCGGCACCATAGGGACAGGTCTCTTTGTCGGCTCCGGTCAAACCCTCGCTCGCGGTGGCCCGGCTTTCATCCTCGGCTCCTATTGTCTGATGTCTTTCCTAATCTTCTGCGTTGTCTCCGCCATTATCGAAGTCGCAGCTTATCTCCCCACTCCGGGCTCTTCTATGAACCTCTTCGGATTCCGTTATGTCTCCCGTTCGTTAGGGTTCGCACTTGGCTGGCTCTACTTCTACTCCCTCGGCATTCTCGTCCCCTACGAAATTACGGCCGCTGGTCTCGTTATCGATTACTGGAATGCGCCTGTCAATATTGCAGTATGGATTTCTATCATGATCGTCGTTATTGTGGGCCTGAATGCTCTGCCAGTCAAGTTCTACGGCGAAACAGAGTTCTGGTTTGCGGGCACTAAGGTTATAATGATGGTTGGACTGCTGATGGTATCTTTCATTCTCTTCTGGGGCGGAGGGCCCGATCACGATCGTTTGGGATTCCGTTATTGGAAGCATCCTGGAGCTGCGAATACCTACCTAGCTGGAGGAGACACCGGGCGCTTCCTTGCGCTACTTTCTACTCTCGTTTTATCGGCATTCCCCTTCACCTTTGCCCCTGAACTGCTCATTGCGACAGGAGGAGAGATGAAGTCGCCGAGGCGGAATCTGCCCATTGCTGCCCGCCGCTACATCTACCGTCTAGTGTTCTTCTACATTGGCTGTGTCCTCGCTATCTCCGTGATCTGTCCCTCCGACGACCCCAAAATCACCAACGGCGGTGCCGGCGCAGGATCTTCAGCCTTCGTCATCGGGATCAAAAACGCCGGCATCCCCGTTCTCGACTCTATTATCAACGCCGGCATCATTATCTCCGCCTGGTCATCCGGAAACTCCTTCCTCTACCTCTCCTCACGCTCTCTCTACGCGCTCGCCCTCTCCGGCAACGCCCCCTCCATCTTCAAGGCCTGCACTAAATCCGGCGTCCCTTATTGGGCCGTAACAGCCTCCTCACTATTTTGCGGCCTCGCCTACCTAAACGTAGGGTCCAGCTCCTCAGTCGTTTTCAATTGGTTCGTGAACCTGACCAACACCTCTGGCTTCATCTCCTGGATCTGTTGTGGCATCATTTACCTGCGTTTCCGCAAAGCATGTCGCGTGCAAAGCATTATGGACTTGCCATATCGGTCCAAGCTACAGCCTGTGGGTGCCTGGTGTGCGATCGTTGGATTTACGTTCCTCGTGCTTATCAACGGATTCAACGTCTTCTGGCCCCAGAATTGGAACGCGAGTTCCTTCCTCACGGCATACATCGGGATTCCTATCTTTCTAGGGATTTACTTCGGACATCGTATCTGGGCGTGGAGTGACCCGTGGGCATATAGACCTGAAGATGTGGATATGCATACGGGCATGGAGGAGGTGCTGGCTGAAGAGAGGCCACAGAGGAAGATAGATGGACCGTGGTGGAAGAAGATTTCTTTGATTTGGCAGTAGATATAGGCGGTTTCTAAGAACAGAGGACCACGATAGTTCTGTAATGCCGATCTTGATCAGTTCTGATGCAATGAATGACTCTATAAGTTAGATTGGTATGCTACTAAGTATGATGTGATGACATTACAAGAATTTTAAGCCAATCTCCGAGAGATTTGACTCTGGCACGGGAAAGGTGTGTAAGTTAATGATGCTGTGATTGTAAACCATTTAATACAGGGAGAGACGTTGCAAGTGGCTCATTGACGCTACAATTATGATGTCTAGAACTGTTAAATTCAATGCAGAGCGATCGATTGATACCAAAGGAAGAAAAGTTAACAAGAAAGAATCAACGGCGGCAAGTGTAGTGGAGGCTGAAAGACACAATTGGAGCATTTAAGAACAAGTCATTAAAATTGTCCAAACATATCCAATTCAATAGGCAATATGATGGCTTTACTGGGACACCAGAAATGAAAACCCCAAATTCCAAACTCCAATGCTAAATGGATATTCTCAAACCAGTGTCAAGCCCGCATAAACGCCCTCAATGGTATATATGCAGCCCAGAGCAAGCTAACCTAACCCAAACCCCCTCATCCTGGACTTAATTAGCCCCATTCCTCTTCTTCGCCTCTTCCAACGCCATCTTCAACCTCAACTGCTTCTCTTGCTCCTCACTTAGCACTACCTTCAAACCTTTCTCCTCGAACAACCTCTCCACTGCCTCCTTATCCTGATCTAGTACCCCAACCCTGCGCTGAAACTCTTCTTTCAATTTCTTCTCTCCCTCCACCATCTCGATCTCTAATTCCTTGGCTCTCACACCATCCGAGTTCTCCACTCGCGCTTGCGCAATTTCCGCCTCCAGGACTGCGGAGTTTAGCTCAATTTCCAGGGCGTTAAATAGGGACAGTAGATCTTTAGAAGTCTGTTTAACGTCGCCCAACGCCTGACTCGCTCGTTCCAACACCTCCTCCCCCCTCCCTTCCACCTCAGTCTTATCCAAACCCCTTACCGCATTCAAAATCCGATCTCCATGACCCTGCAACCCCCCAACAGCTCTAACAACGCAATCCTCACACACACGGACCAACTCGCCCACTCTCTCTGCCTTCTCCCCCTTAGCCCTTAGCACCGCCTGGCGTTCGGCGTTCTCAAAATGGCGCTCGACTTGTTTCATCTTGCCAATATTGCCTGCCGCATACAGGGGTTGAATTTCCGTTTTCTTGTACCGCTTATCGCGGTCTGCGACCGCGGCCACGACTTTCTCATGTCGGACTTCGATTAGCATGTGAATTTCTTGAAGGAGCTCTAGGCAGTCTTTCGTGCTTGGGACATCACTTCCCTCGCCCAAGTCAGCGGGCGGAGCGATAGCGACAGCGACAGAATTCAGCAACAGCGCTTCCACGCTGACATGAGCTTCCATGAGGTGTTTAATCTGATCTTGCAATCCATCATACACTTTATCAAAGACATTCTTGACGTATTCTTTGTATTCGTCCCGATCTTCTTGCGCTTTGAGTTCGCGTTCTTTCTCCTTGAATTCGTCTTCAATGGCGCCGATGTCTGCATAGCTGATTTCGTTGTCGTTGAATAGCTCGTCGGTGCGAGCTTCAGATTTTTCTTGGCGGGCGCGACGAGCGGCGTCGTTCTTGGAGCGGACTTGAGCGGCGGATTTCTCCCACGAGGCTGTTAATTCAGTGATATAGGTGAATTCAGATGGGAGAGCGATAACGGATTTGCGTATTTCTTCAAGGCCAGGGCATGGGGTGGAAGAATTTGTTTGCTTGGGCAGGAGATCGGCAAGAATGTCGACGGCGTTCTTCTTTGTGACTGAAGCGGTAGGCGTGACGCTTAGAGGCGCAGGGACCGGCACATCAGATAGTTTGCTTGCACTCGTCGTTGGCCTACTCGTGGGTTTCGAGCTCGGTTGTGGTTGACCGAAGAATATCTCGTCATTGTTATGACCCGAGCTTGGTGTCTGGAAGGAGGGAGTACCAAAGGACACAGACTGTCGATGACTTGTTGATGAATCTTCTCTAGCGGCACTCGGTTTGAATGCAACATACTGCGGTTGTGGCTGTTCCTCGGGTGGCGACTGTATCGGCGTCTTGTTGAAATCATCATCGGCTGAACTGGTCGGGGTGAGGATGGTGCTTGCCTGAGAGGAGGGCTCGCTTGGAAGGCCAACAGTACTGGACCGATGTAAAGGCTGACTGTTCCCTGAGCGTTGAAAACTATCCGCGGGCGTTGTCATCTGAGGATGTGGCTCAGGTCCACTAGCCATGATAAACGACTGCTCGGTTGGCACACTGTCGTTGGACTTGAGAGTCGGCTGTCTTTGCGGTACTATGGGTCTTCCTCCAGGACTGAACCGAGGCTCCTCAATGTCCTCGACAGGAGTTTGCTGTGGCATCTGGATATGCATGGCCGGCTTCTTGGCTGAAGCATTTGACGCACCCCTCGATATTCCGGTCGGCTCTGGCTCTACGATAGGGTGCGAGTTTACAGGTTCTTGTACCGGCACCGGTGCTGGGAGTGTGGAATAATAATCCAGCCCTCTAGCTCTCGACTCTGCGGCCAGAAAGCCCGTAAACACCTTAATCTTCTCCTCGACCTGCGGTTCACCAGCCTCGCTCCTCAACATGGCAATGTATCTTTCCAAAGACCCCGCATACCAAGGATTAATATCTGGAACTAGGTCAGCAGGTGCTGGCTTCGGCACTTCCTTCTGCTTCTCAGATTCGAGTTGTCGCTTCAGATCTGCAATGGTAGCATCTCTCTCAAGGATAGTCTCATGTTTGCCTTCGATTTCTTCCTTTAGCCGTTCGATCGTAATATCTTTCTCCTTGTTCGCGGCTTCAGAATTACTTCTGGCTTGTTCGGCGTCAGCTTTCATGCTCTCGATCTGCATGCTCAGCACACTTTTCTCGGCCTCAGCCTGGCTTTTCGAGGATTCGGCTTCCGCTTTCAAGACATCAATTTGGGTTTGAAGAGCTGCAAGCTCGTTCTGCATGTCCAATTTCAGCCGTTCATAATCCTCACCGTTGTCCTTTAATTCCGTAGCGAAGTTTTGTTTCTGAAGTTTAGGTTGCGCACCCCAACCTGTAGACGCTTGTGTTGGAGTCTGTTGCGCTGCACTCCAGCCTCCATCGTCCATAACAAATGCATTGTCAGCGGGCAGCTGCCGTGGTGGTTGCTGTTGGGCTGGAGTTTGTTGTCTAGCTGGTGGTGATGTTGACTGCGCTGCCCATCCACCATCGTCCATCGTAAATGTAGTGCCTGTAGGAGGTGGAGGATGTGGCTGTTGTTGTTGTTGAGGCGTGCTTTGTTTCGGCGGAGCCCATCCATCATCCATGACAAAATTCTGCTGAGCAGGTGTAGGGTGTGAAACCTGCGCGGGCGGGGGTGATGCTGTCGTATTTGCAACCACGATCCCTTCATCCATAACAAAACCTTGTGAAGGCGGCTCAGAAGGCGCTTGAGTCGGGGTGCTATCAGGCTTAGGAGGAGGCGTAGGCTGATATGTATCTCTCCTCTGAATACCCACATTCAGCGGCGCAGGCTGCGCAGACTGAGGGGGTGGAGTGGGCCACTCGTGCACTGTTGATGGGGGAGAAGGATGGACCGGCAGCTCAACACTATCCAACTGTGCAGGCTCATTTTTCTTCTCATCTTTCTTTGCTCCAAATATATCCTCGTCATCAATCTCATCCTCGACATGCCCAAAATGCTCCCAGTCTGAAGGGCCACCGCTGCCCAGAGCACTGGCAGCGAGAGCAGATGGTTGACTTGGCTTCTGCGGTGGAGGAGGCGTAGGTGCTGCTGGTGGCACCGACGATGTCCCAATCCTGTTCTGGTTCCGCAATGCACCCAAAGCGATCGAGCTGACGGAGCCGGTTCGCCCTAGACTCGATTGGGCATGTGCAGAGCTGAAGCTCATGCTATGTCGGTTCTGTACTGGAGATACCGGTTGGCTTTGGGGGCTTGGGTCAGTGACAAAGTTCGGAGGAGTATTTCCAGTGTGGCCGTTGATAGGCTTTGGGGCTTGGATACCTTGATCCGGTCCATGAGGATATTGCTGTCCGGCAACTGATCCTTGAGCTTGATGACCTTGCTGCCACCCCTGTTGTTGAACCGGTTGTTGTACGCCATAGGAAGGCGGGATGCTTGGCTGAGCATATGCTTGATCTGCCGGTGGCGTTGGCCACTGTTGTCCTTGTTGTGGAAATTGCTGAATAGTTTGCTGCAACTGAGGGCCTTGCGGCGACTGAGTGAGTTGTTGAGGCTGTTGTGCTTGTTGGAATTGGCCCTGTGGTTGCATTGGCTGTCCAAATTGCTGTTGTTGCTGAGGTTGCGTAGATTGCCCAAATTGCCCTGGTTGCGGCATCAGAGGCTGAGGTTGGGGCTGGAATTGGTTCTGCACTGGCTGATTAAATGGCTGTTGCTGTTGTAGGGGTTGCCCAGGCTGCTGTCCAAATTGGCCTTGTTGCATTTGCGGTTGTGGTTGCATTCCTATCTGCCCCTGATATCCTTGGGGTTGAAAGGCAGGTTGGATATTCGGCTTAGTGTACTTGAACTTCTTCCCTCCCTGCAAAGGTGCATGCTGAGCCTGCTGCCAGGCTGGAATATCAGGTGGAGGAGGAACATAGACACCAGGCATTGGGTTCGTGTTCGATGGCATGTACGATTGCACACCCTGGCCTGTGAGCGAGGGCGGTATATACGCGGGGTGCTGTTCGTTGGGGCTTAGCACTGAGTTTGGGGGCTGTTGTGTCACGGCCGACGAGGGGTTCGAGTATGCCCCGGCTTGATCGGCGCCGTATATCGAGGTCGGTCTCCCCTGGCTTGGAGGGAAGTAGGAACCGCCAGGAGTCTGTGAAGGCGGTGGGGGAGCAGCACTGTTGTATGGCTGTTGCGGTGCGCCTTGATTCTGGAATCCGCCCTGCTGCTGTGGATATCCTCCCTGTTGTCCTTGCTGACTGAAGTCTCCCTGCTGTCCCTGGGGAGTGAACCCAGTATTCTGTTGTGAAGACTGGAAGCTTTGCTGTTGTTGCTGCGCGCTGTATGCAGGTTGTTGGGGCCAAGTCTGCTGATTCTGCTGCTGTGGTGCCTGCTGTTGAACTGCAGCTGCAAATCCTTGAGGTTTCGGAGGGGGAGGAGGAGGTAGATCCTGTTGCTGTTGTTGTTGTTGCGGGGGATATTGTGACTGAAGCTCCTGTTAGCATTCATTCCTCTCCACACTATTCAAAGCGCCTCTCCCGACAACGTACCGCTACAGTAGCTCCTTGTCCTTGATTATACGCTCCTGGCATTGCACCATACAGCCCCGGGTTATACCCACTCCCTCCCTGTTGCGCTGCCTGCTGTTGCGGTGGCTGTACCCAGTTTCCCTGTTGCTGCTGCTGCTGCTGCTGCTGCTGCGGGGACTGATTCCATTGCTGTTGTACGGGCTGTTGGTTCTGGGCAGGCGGTGCCCATTGACTCTGCGCAGGAGGAGACGTCGCTTGGAAGCCTTGAGGAGCTATACATTCATCAATTCAGGCCTCGAGAGGATGATTGGGTACTGGGGTGCGTACCTCCATATGGCGGGGGGGGAGCCGGGCCTTGCTGCCCCGCAAAACTAGCTGTACTTCCCGGCCGCTGATATCCTTGAGGTGCTTGGTTGTAGTTCTGCATGATGAATTAAGTCTATCGCCCCGTTCCGCAAGCTGCACGAAGCTTTGGGGTCGGTTGTGCAGGGGTACGCCTAGGGGACTGACGATAGATCGTGACAGCAAAGGTATTTATAGAATAGGGGACAAATAAGACTCGGCTAGACCCCAAGTTTGAAAAAGCCGATGGAGGAGTAGCAAAGAAGGGAGGAAGTACAACAGGCAGATGGCAGACAGCACAACCAGGAGACGACAACGAAGCGCTCTCGCGAGATGGTGAGGCTGAGGGCTGAAAAGACAGCCAAGCTATCAACTCGTGTCTTGAAGCGGAAAGGCGTCGCAGCCACGCGTCAGTCGACGCTTCTTTTATCCGCTTTCTCCCAAGCGCGGATTCCTATTCGAGGCTTGTTCGAGGAGAGGTTCCGACAGCATATGTATCAATGCAGGAAGATACTCTTCTGCGCTGCCTCTATGATACAAATAAGCAGCTTAAGAAACCGAACTCCATACTATTATTTCATTTTTTTAATCTAACTTAGAAGCTTACTTAGGTGTTCAAGTTGCTCCACGCGCTAGGCAAGCTCCATCCTGTTCATGTCCCAAAAGATATCCGGCATTAGTAAACTACAACCCACAATACAAGTAGCGAACCAGCGCATACGCATAATAAAACAATCCCACCACTTTCCCCTCTTCGCTACCTATCCTTCGTAGAACCTTCAGGCCAACCTTCACCGCCATAATTCTTTTGAACATAATCCGTCACAAACTTAACATCCTTCGCAATAGCATCCGGCACAGCCTTCTTCTGCACCCACAACGGTAGGACACCCTTCGCATCACTCGCCGTTGCCATGGTCCATCGATTTTTAACAGATTGGTCGCCATTGCTATTGCTGAGTGGTCCTTGAATCTGCGCGACCCGCTCAATACTTACATACACCCCTTGAACGTATTTGCTAGGTTTAACGTGTGAGTGCTGCTTGACGGCAGGCGGAAATTTAGTGAGCGAGACAGGGAGTTGAACAACGATGAATTCCTCAAGAGTGTTGGAAGTTTCTGAGGATTGGAGATCGGTCCGGGTACCGGATAGGACAAGAGTTGTGAAAACGCGCTTGTTGAGCGGCATGGGAAGTCTGTGGAACATTTCGACGACTATGAGATATCAGTCAGTTGGAATCGCAGTTTGAGAGGATGGGTTGAGGAAGGAATCGTTGAAGAATGACATCTGACTTACGTTCCATAGAAATATCCTTCCAGCCTTCTACCTTCCCACCACCCTCCAAATCCCACTTCAAAATGCTGTTCACCTCTACCACCTCTGGCGTATACTGCCCCTCATGCCACGAATGATTCCTCCTTAACACATAATCGAACTCTGCATACCGAAGCGGCGCCTTCTCTTCATGCCTCGATACTCTCCCAAACCAGGTGTTTTTTCCAATATCCTTCGCAAACTGCGTCACCGGCGCATACTTCCTCTGCTTGTCCAAGCTCTTAGACCCCGTGTGTCGCCATTGCTCTATATCCCAACTCTTAGCCTCATCCAACACAGCTTGGACAAAGTCCACAACATCTAGCTCTCCGCCAAGCCCGTCGCCAAAATCAACATGATACGGAAGCTCATTGAAGCCAAGTGGCCTTGGCTCCAGATATGACAGTCTGAGTTTTCTGGGCGCAGATGTGGCAGTGGCGGATCGCTTGGACGCACCCAAATCCCCAGCCACGCGATCCGCTCCGCCCCTGTCGTCTCCTTCCATAGCTAGCGGTCTGTGTATCTGCAAACCTGTGCAGATGCGAGGTAGTTCGTTCCGAGCAGCGGGGCAGATGTCCTCGTTCGGTGGGTCTCTGAAGCTTGGAATCTGTGCGTGCGTCGGTCTAGATCGTCGCCGATGCAAGTGGATCTAGCGGTGCGCCAAGTCTTGAGAGCAAAAGAGGTCTAATAGCAAGTGTCCTATCAACATTGGATCTGCGCAAAATCAGAACCCGGTTCAGGAGAGACCGGAAGATAATATTAGAGGGTAGGTGGATGAATATTGAACTACTGCTCGCTCTTGCTTGTTCTTTGCAACTGTCCAGACGACACGCCAAGACCGACGTCTAGATCAAACTGGCGAGAGACAAGAGCATACTGCTAGCAGGCATGACCTCGAATCCAGATCAAAAAAGGAATCCCCAGTAGCCCCTTCTTGCGATATCTCTCTAAACAAACAGGAGTGCATGTTCGGCTCCTTGCTTCCCACTCCGCAGAACCAGCCTCTGATCTGAAAACGAATCTTGATTACCTTAGGGCCCAAAAAACACCAATCCTCAATTCTAAAATGCCATGTTCCTACATGGGGTTTGCTCACTGCCGAACTCAGCATCTAGCCAATCCCTTTTCTCGCTCGGCACCGAACCCCGAACCACACACAATTCACCCTTACCTTCCACACCCCCTCGCCAAGCCCTGTCCACAGATGAGCATCCCTGGTTGGCAACTGGCCTGACACCTGCAGCCCAGGTGTGGAAAGCTTAGACGGACCTCACTCGATGCAGATTTCGATGGTGAAAACGGGAAAATTTTCTCCCAAGATAATTGTGCACTGCACACGTACCAGTATATCGATGCAGATGCAAGCATAAACAAAGTCTTCTCAATGATAAGCTGATCATGACCTGACATTTATTTTGCGTGTTGCTCGAGCTTCGCACCGCCTTTGCCACAAAACCGGTGAAGTCTGAGGAAAACTTTGCCATCCCAATGCGAGACCAACAAACTCGAAATCCAACTGTGCTTGGTTGAGTCAAGAGTGCGGCTGCATGGCCAGACCGCTCTAGATCTCTCAGCACCTGCGTGCTCACCACAATGATCCTGTATATTACCATGCAGGTTAAGATCTGTGGACTCTGTTGAGAAAACTAAAAACCAGGAGAATAAATTTTGCTATTTCAGAGCTGGAGCCTAGCTAGTAAGAAATAGGTATGGCTTGTGCGTCTTGCGCCATGGCTGGAGAAGGTAGAATGAGATCGCCTCTCCTAGAATAGCGTCGTCAATGAACGCCTTTCTAAAAGGGTAAGCCCGTCGCAACTCCCTCTCTCCACCCGCCGTTTGTTTTGAACGGCTTGTGGCATCATATGATGAATTCCCGGAGGTGTACGTTTGAGAAACGAAGTATACGCATATCGTGGCAATCAGATCCGGCAATTGTAAGATTGCCCTGAGATGCGAATCGCGAATACGGTCGCAGGGACAATCCCGCGCCAGAGAAGAGAGATGAAGGGGAAAGCATAGGCTAAAAGCCTGAACTTGCAGAGAAGATTAAAGCTTAGCCATAGACATGACATCTGATCTTATGGCTTCGTTAGCGGTAAACGTTGCTGCAAGATGAATACCTAGTTGATTCTGCCATACGGTTTGATAATTGCAGCGTACTTAAAAGTCCGGAAGGATGGGGAGACTTCCGGAAGTATTAGATACTCACCCACCCTTCGCTTAACACCTCGGCCAGAGAATCATAAGGAACTAACTCATGGGGAGCTTTCTTTGTCCACTGCTTCATCATCCGCCACTCTGGCTAATTCACTCGCTCTAAGCAGAGCCGCGAGGGAGGATGTTCGGAAATCTTGAGGCTGTTGTGCAGACGAGACAGGAGGTGGCCGGTTAAGAGGTGAGGGGGTAGCTCCAATGCTTGGCACTGGTTGTGGGAGCATGCGCATGGATTTCGATCCATCGACAGTTGGAGGAGGTGGTGGCGGATAAGTTGCGGTGCTGCTATAGCCACCACCGCTTTCGGAGGATAATGTTGTGTCTTCATGTGTAAGCGGTGGAAGTCGTGTCGGCTCCCAGTACGGCCTTCTTGAGGGAAGATCGACGGGACCATGAGAATGAGATCCATAAGTGGCTGAAGGAGGTGTCGTTGATGATATTGGCTGCGGTTGGCTGTAAGAGGATGAGGGGAAAGATATCGTAGAAACCGTAGGAACCGTGGGATCAGAATGCCGCTCGCGCGAGTCTCGCGCCAAAGCGCTGGCGTGGAGATCAAATGAATTTTCCTTGTGGAGTGATGCAGATCGTGGCGACGCAGATAGAGGAGAGTAAAGGTCACCCACCCGAGGGGAGTTCATACCTGACAGGGAGTGTGTCGCTGGAGATGTTGATTTTGACCCATAGGAGTGGCCATCGGGAAGCCTGGCTAGCCGTATAGGGGGCGAGGACTCCGACCTATGGTGGCCCATTGAGAAGTGATCTGGCTGAGCGGAACCAACCCTTCTGCTGCGTTCTGCCTGATCGAGGCCACTGCTCAGGGTTGAGGAGCTAGTTCCGGTCTCTATCTTGGAGCGCTTCCCTTCCGCGCCTATTCTTCACGTTACACAAAATTGATAGATGGGTATTGGATAACATACCTTTCTGCGGGGCAGCGTGCTTCGCCTTAAAATCTTCGAGATACTTCTGGTAGGCATCGTACTGGGGGGTTTTCTTGTACTCGGCCAGCTCTGCGTAATACTTCTCTTTGGCTGCGTTGGCTTGGCGCTCACAGGCTTCTCGAGCAACGACCGGTAAGATCTGCCACCGCTCACCGACGACTTTTGCAATCTCGGTAAAGGAATACTCTTGGCCTTTAAGTGTTTCCCTCACCTCTGTGTGATATTAGCTATGGAACTTCTGCAAGCCTTTGGAATGAGCCTTACGGTTAGAGAAGATTACATAAGCCGACGGAGGGCGCTCTGGTGCATGCTCGTCCGGCTGAGTGCTGTCAGTGCCGCTTTTGGACAGTAGGAACCACGGTTGACGGAACATCAACTTTCCGGTGCTTGGAAGAACTAACTTTGGGGTGTCGCCTGTATTTTCGCTTCGTACTTGTGCCGGTATTCCCAGGTGCGAGAACGTCTTGTTGCCTACTTTTGCTCTCTGGGGCAGAATCATCGCTTCGATACGATCCGTCAACACTCGTGGATTTTCCAAGTGCAATGGGAAGCGGGCGGTCATGAGCCTGGCCCCGCGTTTCGGCAATTGCCCTTTGAAGCTTCTAATAGATGTCTAAGTTAGTTGGAGGATTCATAGAATACTATAGCTGAAATGTAACCTAAAAGGGTAGGTCACAACGTACCCTTCGATGGCCTAGTTTGACGTTGAGAGCGTTTCTGCAGATAATCAGCTTGATATTTCCTGTAAAAGTGAACAACCCACTCACAAGTCTGATTCCGTAATGTCTAGTACTGTTTCCCAGGTATCAAAGCCTTCCGCAACGAAAACTTCAAGGTATTGGGACAGTCCCAATCGCTCCAGCCGTTCCCCCAGGTCGCTCATGTAGGGAAGATGGCCTACCGGGCGTGTACCGGGACTACGAGTGTGAAGGGTCAAGTAAGGTAGCGTGTGCGGATTGATTTCAAGGTAGCACGCTTGCAACTTTTGTTCTTCGCTGATTCCGGGGCCTGCCAGAGAGTGAAGGACTAAGAAAAGCGGGGGTCTGGTATAATTAGGTACGCTCAAGGCAATGCGACGAGCTCGGGAACTCGCAGTCGCGGTGAGAGCGAAGTGTTCCAAGCAAAAATGAAAGAAGAAGTATAGAAATTTTCTTTTTAGTTTTGTGCAGGAAGGTGAACACTGGCTAGGTCCAGATCGTACGAAAAACAGGGTGGATTCAAGTGTTGCAGGGCGCAAGGCGCAAAGAAGGGTAAAAGGGTCCAGAAGAGATGCGCTTATTCGGCTTCCATCAGTATGAGTATAGACGCGGCGTTAAATTGGGGAAGCGGCGCACTAGGCCGATTCACCTGAATATATAATGCTGTGGCACGATGCGCGCGTGTCACTAAGATGCGGTCATGAGATGTACGAGATCCTAGGAAAGACTCGACCGGTGGGTTGGCCAGGTGGGAAGAAGAAAGCCGCCGGGCATTGGATGTATCCAGGAACGGGGCATGTAGAGGAGAATGGCGAAGCATTCGTCCAGCAACAAACAGTTGGGAGCAGGGTGTACGAGAGAGAGGGAGAAAAGACCAGGATCAGGCGTGTGCGATCAGATTTACCATATGCGAAGCGAGGAAATAAGATGTGGCGATACCATGGCGGCGTGGCGGTTGCGTCAATTTGGTGGGCGTCCTAGAGGGATGAGAGAGCCATGTTGCCGCGGAGGACAGAATATTGGAAAGAAACTGGCAGCTGGGGCAGCTGAGAATCGGTAGGCAGGTGAGGTCAGAGCGGCGGATCGGCAGGCGACGGCCGGGGATTTGATGGTGGAGGCCAGCAGCAGGGAACATCGGCGAGGCGTCAGTTAGGAGAGCCAAGGAATGCGCACCTCCCAGGAGCCGTGAGCATGCAGCGACAGCGACAGCAGGCAGGGTGAGGACAGAGGCGGAAAAGCTTCAAACAACGGAGACAGCTCAGTGGGCAGCAGGCCGCGCAACATGCAGGCAGATGGTCCTTGGGATCGAAGACGAAGGACAGGATCGGGGCACTGAGCGCACCAAGCATGCAGGGCCTGCTGGTGAATAGGCCAACAGGGACGCCGTTCCGCTTCGAGATGGCGACCTTCACCCTTTCCCGGCTGCGGAGCCCGTTCCAATAGTTAACTTACCGCCAAGCGGTGCTTTCTCGCGGAGGCCTCGCTCCGGCTGCTGGCAGAATGACGTGGAGGCTTTCCGAGATGAGAGCCCCAGATTCGAATTCACCCTGATAGATATCTCGATATTGTCGCTCTCACGAGAAATGTATGTTGTGGCCGGCACACAATTCAGGCTGACTAGCCGCAGTCCGACTCTTTTCGATTTGGTTCCCATTTTCCGGCCACTTGCCAACTTGTCGTGCCAAGTTTAGGTCCCTGTGCCAACTCCTGATTCGAGGCTGCACCTTTAAGCGAAGAGCAATAGAGATCTTCGATTAGGACCCTGTGCGTTGATCGGAATTTTGCGGGCGTTCTGAGGGCCTGTCATACCTGGAGGATCGGCATACAATTGTCTCACTGGAAGGAGGCAATCAATTCGCCTCGTGGAAAACTTACCCGGTGAATCGATCTGATCAGATCGCCGAGGTCAGGAGCGGGGTGGAGGTCTCGGCGAGGATTGCTGAGAAATAGTCCGCCGTGGCAATGGTATCAGCCAATCGCACAGTCGAGTAAGTCAGATGTAACGTGAGAGTACTCGATTTTAGAATCGCCAGGTAGACGTTGATTTTCTCGGTAAATCTGTTAAGAGTTTACAAATGTATTTCCCATTCTGTAAATGGTGTATACAATAGTAGTTCCCTGATTTCGGGAAGGAAGGCTGGAACCCTGTTCACTTCATCAGTACTTCTAGCCACGGTTTGAACAAATGTTCTGCATTTTGAGAACATTCCGCAGAGTGTTTCAATGTGTTTGAGATAGTTGGGCGCGCCCTAACTTTACATCACGTTTTAATATATAGCAAAGAGGTAGGGTATCGCGATGAATTTTTGGTATCCAGTGAACTGTAGCAACTGCTCCTACTTGATTCCAATACATTGTCTAGTGGTATGCATCACTCAGCGCCACTCATGATCCTCAACAGGCTCCTGCCGGTTGACGACCTCGAATGTAGCGTAGTCTGGCCCGTCTCCACCGGGTACAATCACCGCCACGCCAGATCCATTGAGCAGCAGCTTCTTCATCTTAGTCTTACCAAGGGCGTAGTCACTGTACATTCATCAGCTGTGAATCTCTCCGGGCATTCGATATGACTCACTATTCGGTGACATTTTCGAGAACCATGTTGACATAGTCATCGAAGCCGACCAGAGAACCGACGTACTCTAGTGCCTGAATTAGAACACTGAAGCCTGTCGCGCGCATAGAAAACATACCCTTGTCGTCCTTCATGAGAAGCCAGACTTTCGACCCTATGCATTTGTCGAGCAACTCTGCCATATTATAAGTAGAGAGCCAAAAGCAAAGATCGAAAGTAGAGACATACCGAGAGGATAGACTTTTGGTGTGGTCTCTTCTGCCTCCAGGGCCCCGGACAAAGGTACAGACAAAGATTTGGGGGTGACCTTTGGTACAGTCACGGGTGCATCCTTAACGGTAACAGCCGTGCTGGAAATAGGCGCTTTGGATGAGGTGGAGCTGGACGGCTTCAACGCAGGCGGCTTCTCAGCGTCCTCTTCGGACTCCCAGTCTGGAGCAGATCGCCAGGCTTCGTCGCGGGACCCGGTTGCCATGCTTGGAAGTTGGAGGTATCTTGGTTTTTGGCTTGAGGCAGGTGATGGCGAGGTTAGAGAGGTTGTGAGTGCTTGGCACTTGTATGGAAACAATGCAGGCGATTAGTCAGCGAAATTTCTGGACACAGAGCGGGCCTTCACCAGGCAGACGTGCTCCAATCCAATCCTCACTCTACTCTTAAAGGTCTGGTGCCTGGTTGGAGCACGACAATGGAGACCAATGCTCCTCCGAAAATGCGCTCTCCCCGTCGGCGCGCCACATCCAAACTTCTTCAATGTTCACAACCTGAGGCGGCTGTCAATGGCTTCCGCAGGAATACCCGCTTCGTCCAGAGTGCAGTCCATTGCTGGCCAGGGACATGATAGGTAATATTTCCGTATACATTAGATACCGGATCACTCAATTGCCAAGCTAATTTTTCTTGACGGCTAGGCCTCCGCCTTCCTCTACCTGTCTCACTTCTTCCCGAGTTCGCCGTCACGTCGCACACAACTACACTTGGGACCCGGAGAATGGCATAGTGTTTTCAAAATGCAGATACAGCTCTCGAGCCTCTTGCGCTCAGGGGAAACACCTACGCAAGCGAAAGAGAATTAGTCTGAACGAGTTTGCTTCCAACATAAAGATGACTCTGAACACCGCAGACCAAGACAATTTTCTTACATTTGGGAGAGTGGGGTCTTTCTGCAGCGACAAGTCCGACAGCATTCTACACATTTCTTGCCCTCCCACATGGATGGCATCGCCACTTTCTCTAAAACACAAGAGGGAAGCAGCATTACACAAGTTTGAGACAACACCACCAAGCCCTGGATCCAAGAAAGAATGGGGAATAAGCGAAGAGGAGGGGGAGATAATGGTGGAGGGGATCACTCATGAAGTTGCACTTCTTCACTCACGCCATCTTCCCTATACTGTTCGGTTCAAGCAAGCCACCGCTTCATTAAACCCCACCAGCGTCTCCGCTTCTAACGTTGACTGCATCCTGATACAGTGGTCTAGGCGACCAGATAATCCCATAATGAAAGAGAAGGCGCCCTTGGATCGAGCTCGCTTGGGCAAAGCTATTGATGAACAGCTAAGATATGAGCAGTTGTGGAAAACTAGACGACAGCTACTTCGGAACTCACGGTTGCAGGCAGTCGTTCATTTCCCAGATAAAATTCGAACTCGGTGGAATAACTCACATCATCAAATCAGGATGGTTCCGAACACAAGAAAAGGCGTTAAAACCCAAAGGACTTCATTGATATCTTCTCGGCCGTCGAAGGCAACGCGCACGACAAAAATAGATGAGACGAGAAAATCTTCGTCACCTTACTCGATGCCAGCTACCCCTGCCCCACTCTGTCTGGGATCCAGAGATGAAAACGCGGCACAGCAACTTGCCAATGGCGGTGTACGCTATGCCATCAGACGTAGTGGAACTGGTAGCATTTTTACTAGACTTGGTGAGATTCCCAGCCAAGGAAGGCTTAGACTTTCTCCATCACCACGACTGAGCGCGCCTCACTCAGCACCTGTGCTGAAGGATTCAAAATCACTGGTAGATTCAGAAGAAGTTGACGGGCAAGAAGTGTCCAATAAACACGACATTCCCAATCAGTTAGAAGATAATCCCGGACAAGGAGAGCCCAAGGAGCCAGAGTTGCTTGGTCAGTTACATTCCATTGCAAGTAACGGAGTGACCACTTGCCCTGGAGGTGAATGTGAGTTGCCGTTGTCCTTGACAACAAATCTACTAAACGAAGACGTCAATGAATATTCCGGTGGTGACACGAAAGTGCTTGCAAAATCGGGAAACACTTCTAACAACGAAGGTGAACCTCACAAAGACAACACCTCTACTGGCGCAGGATCGCAAATAGCATCAATCTCTGATATGAATGAAGCATCTGAGTCTGAACATTCGAGTGACGGAGAACAAGGCAGTAAGTTTCTAGGAGACACCGAGCCTGAGTCCGAAACCGAGGATACCCAGGAGCAGCATGTCCCCCTCACATACCAGATCCCTCCAGGTGTCCTACGCGCTGCGATGCAGGCTTCCCCAAACAGTGATGGAGGCTACTACCGCTACAACTTCTACCGCGGCCCAAACGATCAGCACGTTTCCACCCACTATTGCCAGAGCTTTCAAGTTGCTGAACGAGTTGCGAAGTACTTCGTAGGTGAAAAGGTTGTGGGCTTCGATATCGAGTGGAAGCCTCGGGCGACCGCGAAAGGAGGAATCAAGGAGAATGTATCCTTGATTCAACTTGCTTGCGAGGATCGAATTGCATTGTTTCATCTGGCCATGTACAAAGGAACAACGCCCACAGAACTTGTTCCTCCAACTCTAAGGGCTATCCTCGAAGACCCCAACATCTGCAAGGTCGGTGTCGCTGTCAAGGGGGATTTCAACAGACTCGAAACATGGCTTGGTATCAAAGCACGTGGTCAGTTCGAGCTAAGCCGGCTTCACAACCTTGTCGAATTCCACACAACTGAACCGTCACGAGTTAACAACAAGCTGGTTTCTCTTGCTAAACAAGTTGAGCAGCACCTACAGCTACCTCTGTTTAAGGGTAAGGTCCGGGAAAGCGACTGGAGTGAGCCCGTGCGGTTGACCCGCGAGCAGATCACGTATGCTGCTACGGATGCTTATGCGGGGTTTCGCATCTATGATATTCTAGATGCGAAACGAATGCTGTTACGACCAACACCTCCTCGGCCATCTTGCGTAGAGCACGATCCACTTGTTGCCAAACGAGTCAAGGCCGTTCCCAAAGCAATCGATGTGCCTAAAGAAGACGAAATGGAAGACGACGAATATGAAACTGCTGCTGAGGATTTCGCTAAAGAGGAAGTGTCATCCGAGATCGAGTCGTCGTCGGAGTACTCGGGACAGAGTGATGGCCCTGATGCCGACTACGCGCTACTAACGGGAGGTATCGAACGCCCTTTTATTAACCCAGATCACACCAATGGCGCAGCTGATAGTCACGTACCCCTAACCGGGCGTGTTGGCTGTATTCGCCTAGCGGGGCTTGCGGGACCGGATCCTGCATACCCTATGCTCCCCGAGATACCTTCTTCCGAAGAGGGAATCGAATCAGATTCGTCTTCTGTATTTGAAACCCCTCCAAAACGCCTTGGTCGCCGCATTACGCAAAACATCGGTCCAGGACCACCGTCGGGCGGTCCGGACGCTGCAGCGCTATCTATGGATATAGGAACGGAGGTTAGCACGCATCATGAAGTGGATCATACAACTGAGAAACCTGAAAAGAAAACGCCTAGGAAGACGACATCTCGTGCACGAAACCTAGGTGTCAGGCCCATATTTCAGCAATTCGAAAACAGGGAAAGGACAAATAGCATTACCGCAAACGCAGGCAAAGACGAAAAGAAGAGGGAAACTAAACCCATTACCGACACCGCAGTACCACATCAACCGCAGGACTCCGCAGCCAACAACCCACCAGAGCCCTCATCCGAATCCCTCCCAACATTTACACCCCTCGAACCCATCGCAGCCTCCAAATCCCTCGAATACACCCTCGCCGATACTTGGGCCTCCGAACACGTCTCTTCCACCATTCCTTCCCCATCTTCGTCCATGTCTATATCCCCGCTGGCCCGTATTCATGCCACCGTGCCGCACCTCCGCGCATATCATCTCTGGCACCATCAACGTTTGCCCCTATCTGAGATAGCGAAGCATCTTCGCGATCCGCCGCTCGCGCAGTCGACGGTGAGTAGTTATATCTTACAAGCGGTAACGTTGGAGAGGCTGGATTCTAGAGCAGAGGATTTGAGGGTATTATTGAGGGGTCTGCCGGATTGTTTGAGGAAGGGAAGGTTTAGGTGGCTTGTTGAAAGGGTGGGTGGCTTTGATGAGTAAAGATTGATGAATTCAGTGGTGCTGTAAGATTCTTCGGTGAGTTGGCGGAAATTGTTTCGACTCCTGAGAGTCACAATTTTGGGGCTGGAATGTTATGAATAATTTAGTTTGCTTGTACAGGCATTGGTGTGGCTGTTTGGCTAGTGGTGGATATGCATACACTTGTACAGTACACATACACTGCATTTGAAAGGCGTTCGAGAGATTGAATTACTGTTAAATCAGCAAAAGCATTGTAGCATGCACGACACCTAGACATAAAAGAGCACTCTTCTCGCAGTGTGGCTGCCATCTCATCAATAGCAAAAACAAATAATAAAAAGGTGCTTAGCAATGAAATATTCCTGACTACCCTCCGAAGCAGCGGACGCTTCTCCCTCCTTTCAGATAGTTGTCGACAGAGAACCAGCAGGAAGGCCTTGGAGGAGGGATTAACTCCTTGTAAATATTGAAAGCGCAGCGAAAAAGGCAGGAAATTCGGTATGTCGGTCGTAGTAGCTTCGTGACCGCTTGTATCCAGCGCGGGACCTCTGAAACCCTCATATTTTAGTATATGCAAAAATCGACGGAACACTTAGCGCTTTGCAAGACTCCGGTTTCCCCAACTCATTTTCTTTGATATCTTAGCAACGCAAAATTCATATTTCTTTTTTTAAAAAAAAAAATAAATGCGGATGGCTCTATAGATATTTCTTTTTTTTAACTAACGTACCTAACAGGTTGGCCGGCCACACAGGTTGGCCAGCCACTTTTGCTAAGCCCCCACTAAACTCTACTTATCTACATAATGCCTTAACAACAACACTAGATTAAATCTTCTAAAGAATGTTAGATATAGCTTGCTCTTTAAGCTTTTAAATAAAACTTAAAACTCTTCTTATAACGTGCTACAGCTATCTATAATGTCTTTTACATAACACTAAGCAATTAACGCGCTAGACAGCCTTTATAAGCAGAATACTAGCCTAAATTAAGGAATCTAACTAAGCTTAAAAAAAAAGTAGTTATTAAGTATATACTTAAGCTTATTACACGCAGATTTCCTTTTAAGCTTACAGCTATAGCTAATATAGCTAATTTCTTACTTATAAAGCGTAATCTAGGCTAGGTTAGCTTAAACTAAACTAGTATATAAGTTAAGCACTGCCTTAAGTTTATAATAAAGTTTAATTATAAGTATAATTATAAAAGAGCACTTTATAAGAATCTAAAGGTTATCTAGAGCTAGTTTTGCCTAGTAGCTAACATAAAAGCTAAGTATAGTATTTAAAATAAAAACAGGTATAACTTTAATAAGTTAAGCTTTATAATAAGCTAAATATTAACTAAAGTAGTTATTATAGCTTTAGAGAGATAAAAACAGCTAAAGGCAATATAGTAAAGTAATAAAAAGTAGATAATAGTTATTTAAGGCATTAACATAATAAAGTAGGCTATAAGATTATAAAGCTTTAAGTAGTAAATAAAGCTACTATATAACATAGATTATATAAAAAAAAGTAGATTTAAGTAGAAAAAACTTTAATAGTTAAAAATAAGGCTTGTCTAACTACTTTAAAGAAGTTTAGAGCGTGTAGTAATAAGAAGAAGCTAAAGACGCAGGTGCACACTAAAAAAAGTAAGCTAAGTTAAAGGTAATATAAGTAGTGTAATTAAACTAGGCATAACTTATGTACATATAAGTAAGTAGTAAAAGTAGACTTTAAATAATATCTTGTGTTGTATTACTTTATACAGGGCTAAAGTGGGCTGTTTTGCGAGAGAATAGGGTGGTTTTAGTAGGGGCTTGGCAAAAGTGGCTGGCCAACCTGTGTGGCCGGCCAACCTGTTAGGTACGTTATGGTATTAACGTTTATATTGTATATTAGAAAGAGAAGCCCCTCTAAAAAGACAATGTGTAAAATGTTACAGAAATGCTAAGAATTCTATGCATGTCTCGCAAGGTTGCTAGCAGATGTCTACATCTTGTAATTACGCCCGGAACTTGTTGGTGTTGGGGCTGTACGGATTACGATGGTGCTAGGTTGGTTCGTAGATATTGTTTTTCTTCCCAGTTCCCAATCCCCAATTCCAATACTCCAATTTTCAGATCCTTTACATCGCAGCTCATTGCTGCCCCAGTGACTATATGCCATACACCCCTAAGAATTTCGACTTTATCTGCGGTAGCATCGAGACTGGAATGATAAGCCCATGTTCGAGAACATAGAGATATCTTTGCCATATATTCTTACCTCTTTGTTCAAATCTTTGATGAATTGCAAGCATACAAGCTCTTTCAACTTTTTACGCAGATTCTCTTTGTTGTTTTGTGGTGTTTATATGGTGTATGAAGGGAAGAATGGAAGCCATCATCCATGGCACTGGGGGTCTATAAAGACTAGGGTAGAGGGGGTGAATGCTTCTTCACAGGTGTACGGATTGGGTGAGGAATTCTTTTGATGGAACTTCTTGAAAGTTCTTAGCGCCGTGGAGGAGCGTGATAGCTATAAGCATGCTAATACCGCCGCCCTCTCTGCCTCGGCATCCACACCAGCGGGGCATTAAGCAAGGAGGAGCGCGCACCATATGTTATAAAGAACACCCTTTCTGGAAGGCGGTTACAGCAGAGTTCCTCGTGGTCTGATGCTTGGCTCGATGCTTCTTCTGCTCGGCCTTAAACTCGGCTTCCCAAGGCTAGAGCCTAATGCAGCATTGGCGGTAGGGGTTTTTTTTTTTGGGAGGGGGGCTTCTGATTCTTCTGCCTGTATGGCTCCTTCGCATTGGTGGGTGTTGATGCTTCTTCTACTGTGACAGCACTAGTGGTTTAAGTCTGATTAATTTCCGGGGCTGTCATGTAGAGCATTCGAAATCATCTCGGGTGAAAGCAATGTCGAAGCCCACCTTGGCGTTGCGCACTTGCGTTTCGTGAGCCTCCGGCCGGCAACATTGATCTTCGTCCGCAGCACCTATTGCGGTCGTCTAGAGGATATCCAAGGGAGCAGGCGATGTTGTTGATTCGCCGTCCCCAACCCGTCAGAGTCGCCTCTAGAATAGAGCTCTCAAACGAAACAACGCGATTTCTATGGGGAGCCTTTTATTCCTAGATGATAGCTTTAAGTAGAAAGCTCGTCTACTAGTTGTGCTGAGATAGTGACCATGGAAGATCGACGAGGTGAGATTCATGTCCAAGACATATTCCTGAGCATAGTCTATATATTGGTAGAACAGCATGCCTTCGTGTTTCAGATGCCCAGGATGTGTCAATATCTCTATCTCTGTATAAGTTGACAACTATAGCCTCCAGGTCTGAGTAACTCCCATCCCTAGAGGCTAAATGTGAAGCTAGAAGGAGCACCAGAGGCATGAGGAACTGGATTGATTGCTAAAGGAGGGTAACTACAGGTTTATATAGTACTAGATGAAACCATCATGTGACTTAAGGCCACCAATAGCTCTAGGCTGCAGCAGGTGGCGTGGCTAGGCAGCAGTAGGTCAAAGGAGTGTAGGTAGCATGTAGGTAGCAAGAACAATGGAGAGCTAGAGCATAGAGAGCTCTGTAACTGCAAACATACCCCCCTGGCTTAAATAAAGTAAATGTATAAGTAAAATAAAAGCTAAACAAAGGATAGACAGATTTATAAGCAACTTATATAGTAAATAGTTAAAGAGATGTGTGCAGTGCATAAAAAGTTATCTATAATAAATTATGTAACAAGGTAGGCATAGTTAACCACGTGGCTGTTACAATCCTTGCTTTGGTGAAGCACGCGGGTCGGTGAGGTTTCTGCGGTGGGAGGCAGGTCGGGTTGAAGGGGCCGACGGTAGGGTGTACAGTCCTACGTAAGGGCTAATAGGCTGATGGAAGGAGGGTAGAGCGACTGGATTATAGTTTGCCCTGTATGCAGCAGTATAAAGGCTAGGTTAAACAGTCCTATTAGACAGAATTAGAGGTATATATAATATAAGATATATAAATAGTATTAACGTACTTCATAGGCGAGTTGCTCACACACCTGAGTTGCTTACTTTTGCTAAGACCCTACTAAACTACCCTTCCTACACTAATGCATTCCC